AATGAACATTTTTAACCTCCTCTTATTCCAAAGTGTATTTTAGAGCCTAAATAATAATGACTCAGTTTCATTGACGCAAATCTGATGCAACAGAGATGAAACATAACAATTTTTAATGGATAATGTTTACTGGTTAAAGTTAAGAGTGACTGTATTATAATTGAGTATATAGTCTGCATCTTAATTTTGGGTAAATATGCAGCAGTAAAGGGACGTTTGGTAGATTATAAAGTGTTTTCTAGCTGTCAAGTGCAAGAAGGTAAATGTAGTCTAAAGCAAAAACTCTGGAGCCAAGGCCTGTACACTATTTTTTTTTTTCTTCTTCAGCACTAGGATTAGCCTGTCCTGGCCTAACGGATACCTCTTACCTCTAACTTTTCTTTCTCTTGGGGCTGCATCTTGTGTCAAGTGGCATTTTTTTTAAAGCCTTGAAACTGTGATCTTTCCATCTGACGGAGGCTTTTTGAAAGCCCAGAAAAGAAGACAATCACAGAGAAAAAGACTTGCTCGATGCACCCCCATGTTTCTAACTAAAGGGCACTTTGTTTTAGTTTTTATTGTTGAAATTAGTGCAGGGCTGCAAACAATAACCTCAAAGGTTATGTAGTGCCCTTTCCTCAGTTTGTGAAAGTCTTTTCAGTTAGTTTTAGTTTTTCAGTTTAGGTTTGTTGTAGGTAAACCTTTGGTACTGGTCAAACAGGTTGGGATGGAATCTAACAGCCAGTTTGAGCAGCTAATCAGGTAGAGAAATCCCAACCCCGCCTCACATGAAGTAGTTCAGTACATACATGTTAAACAGGCAGCTTACCCCAGTGATACCATTGTATATGCAAATATTATGTTCTTTTCTCTACACCTTTGTCCCAACTTTTTAAGAAATGTTTATTTCTTTAACTCAACATGACTCTGCGCTGACTGAGCTTCAATTATAAACCTTCAGTATTCAGCCTTCTCCACAGTTAAAGCACAGTGCCTGATTACTCCTTTGCACTTAGGGATTAGGATTAGTGCTACAAACAATTCACAATTACTGTACGCCTGGCAAGGATGAGCTTGACCTGCGAGCCCTTAGCTTGATTTTTAGGCCAGCAGTGATAAACACTCAGTCAGGAGGGTCTGCTTGCAGCTGTGATCAGGTGCAAGCTGAAGTTGTGACTGCCACTTAATCTTGTAGCACTTTTAATGGCACAAAATTTGAATTTAGAAACGTACTGTTTAGCTTTTGCTCTCCTTGTATTCAAATATTTCTTTAACCTTAAACCTTACCTTAATTCTTCTTTTTAAAGGGTCAATTTTACACAAATCACTAAAATAAAATATCAAAATTAAATAAAATCCACCTGCTGGTGTCGAGTTGTGATGCAATTTTGGATTTGTTGCTGCTCTGTTGGATTGATGTTAATCTGCTTTTCTTCCTGGCGCATAAAGCACTTAGCTTTTAGAAAATTAGCACCTTTCCAAATTTGTCATTGTTATCTGGAATTCATAATATGCAGACCATGTAAAGACTTTTTTAAGGCAAATTATTTACTGCTGAATATAAAAAATAAACAACAGCTTTGAATCACAGATGGTATTTGAATGAAAGATGGTATAATAAAGCTCAGAGCAGAACTTGTTGGATTGGGGTGATAGCAGGAGTGTCACAAGTCATTTGATGCTACTAGATGTGATAAAAGGTTAAATGGTTTTATTTAATGTGATTTGGGTAAACTGACCCTTAAATTTTCATTTAACATTTTTACTGCAAGCTTTATTAGAAGTTCTCACCAAACCTGCATGGCATCTTCTCTCACCTTTAGCTGCACTGTGAAGTGGTGATTGTAGTTTTGTCTTTCACAGATGAAGATCCTATATCTTCTGTAACTGCTTGTGTTTGTCAGTGTTTATTAATTTGATGTGGGATAAGCCTTAGTGTATTTTTAAAGCTCAGGTATTAGAGTTTATGTTGTAATTTGCAAAGTTTTTGCCAAAGTCTATGAAATATGAAAAACAGATCGAGCCAACTTGAGCTTATATACTTTCTGCACGATACCTAGAATCCATAAACTGAGACTTTCTTTCAACAGTAAGCGCGTGAGTGATGTCTAATCCGTCCTCTCTTCTTTGTTACCCTCAGGTGGACAAACTGGAGGAGGCCGAAAGCCAAAGAAAAACTGAAGAGGAAGTGACAGAGCCTCAGCCGATGGTGTTCGGTAGGTTTACAGGCAGAACAGCTCACTGAGGGATCAACATTGTTGTTCCTGGATAAAGTAAATGATTTCCCCAAATGAAGCTTGGGCTATACTTTACAATGATATAATCTAGCTGATTAGTTTACCCATAATAAGAGGACACGCTTGCGTTTTCTGTTATTATCTGAAACCAGCAGCAGCTGTTGCTGTGTAATTAGCTTTACACCGCCAAAAGAATTACAGGCTCATTGAGCAGCACATAAAGAAAACCTAAGCGGAGAAAAAAAAAAGCCCCATAATTTTGTTTGATATAGAACAAACAACTTTAGCAGTTCAACAAAACAGTCCAGTCATGTGTACTTTCTTATAAAGACGGGGAAAATTTTATTTTGTCTGTGTTTGTTTTTGTTTATGTGATCAGGTCAGCAGCTGATGTTGACTGCCTCTCCTTCTCCAGTGGCTCCCCAGCCAGCGTATCCTGGCTACGGCTACCCTCCCGCTGCTGCCGCAGGCTACCCCGCTCAGCCCGCTTACGGCTTCAGCATGTAGATCCGCCAACTCGTCCTTCTCCTCCACCCCTCTTCCCTACACACATCCACCCACCCTGAACCACACTGCTGCTCTGGGTTTCAACTGGCTGACTGGTGGCGTACAGCCTCCTGAAATTTCGCTGGGCCTTCATTTCCCAGTGAGGCTTCACGTGAATTCACAGAAACTGCAATAGAAACTTTGTCTCTAGTTTTTCCACACCCATTTTAGAAGGGTGGCATCAAGTCTGTCGGACCCCCCCCGTTGTATTTTCCACTCAGACATTATAACTGCATCACTGATCTACACGGCATGAAGTCACCTCTCAGCTCCTTAGAGGTATTAGCATACTGAAGATAACATTAGTTGCGCCAAACCACTCTGTCCTGTTGCTGTTCCATGTAGACTTTATTAACCATAGAGCAGCTTTTTTCTTTTGTTTTTTTTTTTCTTTCTTTTTAATTTTTAATTTTAGCACTGAAGAAGAGACTTTACTGCAGAGTTCAGGGGTACCTTACTCCTAATGCACTGTCACAGCCTTACACATTCTGATGAGGCGGCAAAACGGGCTCATTTGTTCATGTTTAATTTTGCAACTGTCTCATGTTCTGATTAGAAAGACAGTTACTGTGCAATAGTTTTATTTGTCCTTTCACAACAGGTACAAATTGTTTGCTGTATTATGGACTAAGAACACTTGTTTTATGAGGTTACAGTCTCTGTGTGCGTATGTGTGTGTGGGAGTATGCGTGTAGCCTCTAAAGCCTTTGGGGGTTTCGTCACCAAAACCAAGACACACTCAATGATATCTCCACTCCTTTGCAGCTGCAAACCTTTTGCTGGGTCAGAGCGGTTGATTTCATCAGTCGACTTTTTGGAGTTTCAGTAATGGTTGTGGCAAAAAGGCTGAAAGAAAGCAGGTGAAAATGGAAAGGTGAAATGTAGACTGTGCATGTGCTGCCAAACTATAATGCTGCAACCAGGAGCACAATTTTCATGTTACACTCAAGTATATGAAGTATTACTAATGTTGAGTAAAAAAAAAAAAACAGTTATGTATGATGAAACTTTCTGATCCAACTAATGAAAAAAACAAACAAAAGTGTGGCGAAGCTCCAACACACTCGAGATGAAAACAGGGGAATGTTAGCTCACGTCCTGGTGCCGGCTGGTTCAAGTGTCATTATTGTACTGAAAACAGTGTATAATTTAAATATATTGAAATACCTAACTAATCAAAGTATTATGGAATATGTATTGTCTATAGTGTGTTGTTGTAGTCTTAAAAAGCATAATGATTTTTGTAAGAAAATGACAAAATGCAAAAACAGCAGATGAATAAACGCCAAAATCTTGAGGTAAGGCTGCTCAAGGTAACAAAAGATGAGTTATTGACTTTATTTCATGTCAAGGTCCCCATGTGATAAGCAGAGCTCCGGCCCAGCGTGGTCCCGGCACTGGATTTGTCAAAGATAAAATGCAAATAATCTGAGCTGCACACCAGTTGCTTATTTTATCTCCACAATTCATGCATACAGAAAGAGGAATAAAGTTTACACACTGTGTGTGTTCGTGCATTGTTATTTTACATCAGGAGACACTGGGTGTGAAACATTTCAGTTGAATCCAACAAAAATTAAGAGTTAGACTACGAAAAAAGTGGACGGATAGAATTAAAATGCATGAGTGGAAATGTGTTTGCTTCTCATCAACACAGCACGCTCGCAGAGGCACTGGTGCGCGTGATTATTCACTGTGAATACCTTCAAAGTGTTTATTCTGAACTGCTTAAATCACATCCAAAAAGGAGAAACTAACACAAAACATAAGCTTTAGAAAAATACTAAAATGGACGAACCTACTCTGAAAGGTAACTTGCACTAAACCGATTTAAAAATGGAGGAAAACAGGAAAACCTAACTGCTCTGGAGGGCTCTTCCCCTCCCTGTTTTGTTGTTTTGCTAAAGAGCGTATGGAGTTTCACCTTTAAACATGGTTTACATCCATTTTTTTTGCTACACTGTAATTTCCATCCTCCGCTGGACTCTGACATTTTGGTAACCGAGCTGTCATTTATCTGACTGATGGTTTCTGTCTGTGCCTCCGAGCCTCTTTGTTTGGAGAGGGTGTGGTTGGACTATCTGGACCTGTAACTGGCCGGCGAAGTCAAAAATGCTCACCATTTTCACAGCAGACAATAACAAAGGACTCATTTAGCCTATTTCTGTTTTCCTCGCTCAGCTGTAATCATCTGTTTGGAGGAAAACAGTGAGGGTAGGCTGTGCCCCGCCCTTTTTCGCTGTTGTGTGGGGGAAAAGTGGCCGGTCTCTCACTTTGCGCTCTTACAGCTACAGCTACACACCCGGTGTAACGTTCACTGACCGCTCGGCGGATGTTGAAGTTCATTCGCTTTAATTGGACATTATAAAGTTCGGCAGGGTACACGGACACAAGTCTTTATCCGCCCCTTTCTGTGCTTCCGGCTTGCTTTGCTCTCTTACGTACTACCGTCGTGACACGGGGTTTCCATGGTTACAAATAACATTTATTGGATATAGAAGATCCCAACTTCCTTGACAGTTCCAGTATCCGCCCACTGTCAACACAGAGATCCGCCGGAGTCTCCACCTGAATCCAGGAACGCTCTTCAGACTGAAGGCGCCCAGGTGTTGCGCTACTATACTCTATTTGGAAACGAAAACAAAAAAACAAACAAAAAAAAACTGCGAGCCACACTAAACTGCGTTTAACCGGGTAACTATGCAGGGTAAAGGCACTTTTATCAGCCCCTTTCACAGACCGCGGTGTCTGGCGGCAGCGGCACCGGCTGGGAAAGCGAAATTAACTCATCCGGGAAAAGCGATTCTGGCAGGTAAGCGCATCACAATCCACACGGAAAAGTCTCACATGGACACACTGCCACTCTAGTGTTAGTCACAGTTCAAGAAAGCATCCACGCCTCATTCTTTCTACTTGGCTGTGCTACGAAGCAAAACTTTGTCGAGTCAGAAGCCAGGGAGGTTTTAAAAAGTCAGCGAGCAAAGACGCGCTACAGTTTGCAGAAATGTCACTATGTTGGGATTAGAAGAAGTTATTATGAGCCAAAGGAGTCCCACACTGGTTTGTATTTCCGATGAAAGCTTTCCTTTTAAATGACACGTCACACGTTTGCTTGCATGGACGTGAGTAAGTGGAGTTGCACTAATGTGTCCCAGCTTCAGTTTAGGCAGTAGAGCGTAAGATTGAAGGAAACGATCTTTAAACAAAGTTATAGCCTGTATGTCCTTAAGCCACTCTAATCTGGTGCTGCTCGAATCTTCTACAAAAGGAGGATTTTATTCTTCGGTGTTTCTGTGCTATCAAATCCATCTGTGCTGTCATGGTTAGGTCACTTTGACCCACTGCACTGACTTGATTTTTATCCTACTTATCTAAAGATCACCTTCACTGCACTTAACATAATGCGCAGTGGGCAGTCGTCCACGCACACTTGAGCCATTTAGAGTCTCGGGTTTGTGCAGTGGGCCACCAGAGCACAAGAGATGCCTTCAGGCTGTATGTTCTTCATTAAAGTACACCACTAGTCTTCGTGAAACTGTACATATTTACATTTTGCTCTTTTTTTGGGGGGGTGCAAAACATTCTTTTGGGAGTGCAAAACATCATCACCTGATGTTTTGCACTCAGAAATTTACATATCTTTTTTACTTTTGTATGTGTTCTGTCATTTTTTTTTTACTCAATACTTGCAACTGACAATTATTTGAATGGTTTATCAATCAATGTTGAGTTTTTTGGGAGTTAAGGTTTAACATCTAATTTTAAAAAAGGCCATTAATGGTTGATTATCTCCAAACAACTGATATCTAGATCAACTGGTGAACTTACTATTCAACAAGACTTGAGTTGTACCGAGTTGTCTCCTTTTGCCCCCTCCCCTCCAAAACCCCTCGACCTCCCTGTGTGATGATGATCAGGCTGCGGCAGCTCCGGCTGATGAAAAGCCTCTCTGAGGTGCTCCTGTATTAAGGCTACATGCTGATATTTGGCAGCACTCACACTGATTTTTCAACCCTGAGCTGCTGCAGTTGTCGCATACTGAATGTTTTATAGTTCTGAAGGAATTCTTTTTGATTGTAGATTTAAAAACACCAGCTGCTGTTTTTTAAAGACTTTAAATAAATATAAATGTGATAAGTTACAGTTCCAAAAATGTTGGAATATTGTGTAAATTGTAAATAAGAACAGAATGCAATGTTAATGTAGAACATAGAAAACAAAGCTTTAATATGAGACATCTTAGAATGTTGTGAAAAATATTAACTCGTTTTGAACTTTATGTAAGCAACACACCTCCAAAAAGTTGTGACTGGCTACACAAAAGGCTGGTAAATTAAGTGACAATACAAAGAAATAGCTGGAGAAACATTTTGCAGTAAAAGACTGGATTAAAAAATAGAGTATCTAAAAAAATTGTGTAACAATTTCAGAGTAATATAAAACTGTGAAGAATTTGAATATCTTGTCATCTACAGTACTTATTAGAAGATCCTGGGAATCTGGGGAAATCTGTGTGCAAGGGATGAGGCCGCAAATCTGAGGGTGCCTGTGATCTTCATGAGCTCAGTAACACTTCCAGAAATCATTATCTGTGAACACAAATGGAGCTTAAAGGTCTTTCGTGCAGAAGGAGAAGCTCTATGTGATCATGGTCCACAAACGCTATGTCTTCTCTGGGCCAAAATTAATTAAAAATCGACTGAGACGAAGTGGAAAACTGTTCTCTGATCAGAGGAATCAATACCATTGAGAGGTATGTGGGTGGCTGTAGCTCAGGTGGTAGAGCAGGTCATCTACTGATTGGAAGGTTGGTGGTTCGATTCCTGGTTTCCCCAGTCTGCATGCCAAATATCCTTGGGCAAGATACTAACCCCAAATTGCCCCCGATGCATCCATCGGAGTATGAATGTGTGTGAATGTTAGCTATAAAAGCACTTAGAAAGATGTGCTTGTGCGAATGGGTCTGAATGGGTGAATGCACAAGTTGTGTAAAGCGCTTTGAGTGCTCAGATGAGTAGAAAAGCGCTATATAAGAACCAGTCCATTTACCAGGTATTAGCAATGGTATTGACACATCCACATACCATTGGTATGTGGATGGATCATACATACAAATTTCATCAAGACGATGCTAAATCTTGTACTGGATCTATTACAGTAGCATGGCTTCATAGTAGAAGAGCCTGGGTGCTGAACTGCGGGCAGTCCTGCAGTCCAGACCTTTTATCAGTTTAGAACTTTTGGAGCATTTGGCACTGTCTCAACTTTTTTGGGGAAGTGTTGCTGCCATCAAATTCAAAATGACCTTAGTTTCTTCTTATAATGGTAAGTTTAAACCTTTTTTCATGTTCTACCGTGAATAAACTATGGGTTTAATATGGTAATGAGATTTGCAAACCATTGCATTCTGTTTTTATTTGTATATTACACAGCTTTCCAACTATTTTGGAACTGGGAACCTCTGATTCACATTTAAGGCTATTTAGGTATTTTTTTTCCTGTGCACATTAAAGCTAATTTATATCAGTTTGAATCGTGTCACTAATCTGACTAATTTAAGATTTTGTGTTAGGGTGGGAGGTGGAGTGAGAGGAGGAGGAAAAAAATCTCATGATGTCCTGTCAGCTGCATAGAAATGGAAAAGAGGTCGTGGTGAGATCTTTGCCTTCCCCCATCACTCCTGTGCAGCCTGATTGACTGGATATGGCCCAGTGTTGTACCCTGCTCCCTTAGCTGTTTAGCTCAAGTCAGGCCTGTCTGTCTAGTTTTGCAACAGCCGCACAGTTGCATTCTGTCTCAACTTTGTGCATCCTGTGTAGAAACCAGCGACTTATCACTCTCTGTCTACAGTTTAGAAATGAAGGGGCATCAGAGCGTCACAGGATGACTCAGCAGTAGATGTAAAATGTGAGATTCTGACCTGAGATACCAAAAGGAAAGATAATAGTTTAAACAGTTCTAACTTGGTTTTCTTTTGGTTTTCTGTCATGGTAATGCTACTTTGTATGCTTCTTGGTTAACAGTACGTCTGTGTACACAGAGAAAGTCACTCACATAAATGGCCAAAGGCTCAAAAGAAGACAAAGCAAGAAGCAGAAGGTCAAAGCTTAATGGCTTAGCGAGCCCGCATAGTCTGGTTGAGAGAAGTCGGGTATTTTTTTTCTTTTCTTTGAGCTCTTTTCTGCTCCCATTGGTTTGTTCAGCTCCTCTCTCTACAGCCACTGGTGATGACTGAAGTTGAGACACGACAGGAGGGAGAATTTTATCTGTGTGAAGCCTCAGGGAGAGCGCGGTCTAAATGCCTCTGTGGTCCTGGTTTACAGGCTGTTGTGATTTCATGCGCTGTTGTAGCTTTTATTAATAACCTTTTTGCTCTGAAGAAGCAGACTCGGAGCCGCAGTAAGAATGAGGAAGTTTTTTTTCTTGCTTTCCTAGATCGATTGGGTATTTCTCTGATAGTTTTAATATCACATTTCCTCCTTTCCCCCTTTCTTCTCCTCTCCTCCATCACTCTCACTCCAGCCTCGGGGCAGCCAGTTAAGGTTTCTGAGTGGCTGTCTGCTCTCAGGCTCACAGGGCTCATCAAACTGTGGCTTACTCCCCGTTTCCTCGCGTCACAGGCGACACACAGTGTCCCCTCCCATCCATTGTGGTTGCTGCTTGCAGACCCTGAGTACCAGGAGGCGAGACAATAATTCACAGTGCACTCGTCTGTTCAGCCCCCAGCCACCCCACTGTAACAGCTTGCACTCCCGCTCACGCAAATAAACATCACAGAAAAAAAGATTGCAATAATTTAAAATACAGAGCGCCAGTTTAATGTCAGCTTAATATTACATGTTTTGTTTTTGCCATTGTGTTTCTGATTTTTTTGCAGATCTGATTTAGTACCACATCACTCAGCATCAACATACAGCTGCTATAAATTTGTCTCAAAGTTAAATATGATATATTAATTATAGCAGGGTAATTAATTTACAACTAATGTGTTGGGTTCAAAAATACCCTGATGAAAAATGGCTAGCTCAAAACAATAATTTAAAGGCCTTCATATCCTATTTTCTCAGACAGGTCCTGAGGGAAATATCCGGCTCTTAGCGGCAAAATTTTCCAGTATGTGGAGATACCTATAACTTTTGTCTGCTCTTGGTCCTTTGCTGTGTACAGGGCTTTTAAAAATAGCTGCCTGCATCTGGAAGGCACACTAAAGAGAGCAATAAAACAAAACAATGAGCGTAAAGATGCCAGAACACACACGATCTAAATGTGTTGTAAACATAGACTCTGTACGAAAGAGTGACAAAGCTGTTCTGACACTGCTTTCCATTTTAAAGCCATTAGTTCAGTATCAAAGCTACATTGGGGCCAGGGATCACAGATGAAGGCTGGGGATCACTGAGAAATCAAAGAGTACAGAACATTTATACAGCAGGAAATTAACAGTTTATGTAAAGACAACCAAGATCGTCCCCTTCCATCCCCCTTTCGGTCTCCATTTGGGGCCATGCATTGTGTTGTATCAAACAAGACATTAAACAAGTGAGAGCATAAACTCATCAGGAAGCTGTTTCCTGAGGTCAAAGATTGGTTGAGAAGTCGGGTTTCATCGTAGACAACCTAGTGCCTTTTTGACACTGTTGCAAATGTTACTTTAACTGATGCTGAAAGTCGGTTGTCATTCAACATAAATACATAACTAATACAAATTCAGCCTTGTCTCCAGATGTACAGCTTGTCACAACAACCTGTGCGTAGTTGCTCTGCTCATGTAAAGAAGCGTACAGCCTTCATGCTGCAGGGTTCTAGGCAGTTGAATCGACTCCTATGTAAAATTAATCAACATCCCCCTCATATAATTAAGCATCAGTGGAGAATTACAGAGTGTTATCCAGGACAGAGGAAGCCTAAAAGGCCAGACGTCAGATGAATTATTCTTTTCATCTTTTGCGCAAGTCAAACAGAAATATCGCAGCACTGTTAATATGACACTTCCTGTTTGAAGTGCGTCAGTCCTCTGGCTACATTCTCCATGTTGACTGGAGATTTGACCGTAAGAACATCTTTCCCTCAGACTCTTTCCCGTGTTTTCTCCCCACCAGAGAATTGGAAGTAACCGATAACCATCCTGATAAAGAACATCCGAATTAATAATACATTTTGATGCAAAACACACAGACCGACACAGATTATTTTGGGTGTGTTATATTGTCTTTAGCTTTAACTGCATCAGGGATTTAGTGCAGCAGGCTGAAGAGCTAACCCTATACTGCTAGTGAAAAAATATAAATACCGATAGAAACGGTACTTCCCATATATGTAAAACATGCCACATGCCAGGTCTTCTTCTTCAGTGCACCAGATGTGCTGGGTGCTCATTAGTCACCATAGCAGACAGGACAGGATTTCAGAAGCTGCTCTTCCCTGTCAGCTGGCTGCCTGGCTGTCTTCTCACCTGGCTTCCTCTGTGTCTCTCTGTACTACAAACAATGGACGTCAATTTGTGTATGTGTGGATTTTTCATTCGTTAATATCAGTTTGTCAATGTATACATAAAGAATGAGTTCAAAACTAGGTGGAGTTGAAATGGTGGGTCATTTAAGCGATAAGTCAATAAGCACCTAAAGGGTTTCTCCTGGCTTAAATGGACCTTTTGGAGGTGACTGAGCACTATTGTACCACATATAATAAAGATGGCAAGCCTGTGCTACCTTAATTAACAGAAATCTTATTATTTCTGCAAGTGAAATGATGTTCACTTGTCAAAATGTCTGAAAAAATTTGTACTACAATCTTGGTGATTTCCCTCTGGGGGAAAAAGCACAAAACCTCTTTGGGAGTGCCAACATTTCTTATATAAAAGAAACCTTCCTTAACTATTCCATCTTTTCATTTCTATGGATACAACCCTTTTCTTTATCGTCTATAATTGTGAACAGACTGTGTTTTGGTAAGGATTTTTATACATAGTCATGTGAAAAAAGAAAACTGCCTTTCAATTCTAAGATTTTAAATATCAGGACATAAAAAAATAATCTGGTACATCTCAGGTTTTAAATTCATTTAAATGCAACCTCAGATGAGCAAAACACACAACATAATACACTGTATCATTATTTTTTTTCAACACCAGGGAAACTGAAATGCAAGAAAGCAAAAGGTAACTGTATAGCTAACAATGTCTGAGCGGATTGCTGTAATAATTATAAATGTGCAAATGTTTCAGCACCAGGTGGCTGTCTGGTCTGGTTTGTGGTCTAGTTCTAATTTGGTGTGAATTAATTAATTTGGAATGAATTTGAAACCAGATGGCTGATTGAGCCTAGTCACAGCACCAGTGTAGCTGAATGGAAGGAGATTCCTGCAACCAGGATCCAAAGTTTCAGGGAAATCCTGAAAGTGTTACAAGAGTGTATTCTTGCCTCATATGCATATAATTTTCAGATTTGTGTCTCACACATTTTTGGCTATGCAGGCATTCAACTGTGCAGGGCCCATCTGTGAAATCGGAGAGGTGTTGATTAAGTTATAAATTTATCTTCTCTGCCCAGAGAGTGACAGTGTTACCTTGAAATGGCACATCTGTGTCTGATTTATTAAACTGCTGTTTAGTCTAAGTTTTTAACAGTCTGTAGAAGCATATTTGTATCAAGCACTCCATTTTTTTTTACCCTCTTCTGGGTTCGGCTTACTCTTTTCAATTTCCTTTCTTGTAATATTAAGTGTCAGAGATCCATATCGATGCATCGATTTTATGACACAGAGTGAAGAAGAGTAGTTGGGGGGATGAGGAGAGACGAAGGAAGGTGCTGCCGAGAGAAAAATTAAGAGCAGGTGAGGGAGAGCGAGCCCGGGAAGATAAAGATTAATGGCCATTTTTCTCATGTAACCCAGTTTTGGCAGCTCACAGGAGTCGTTTAGGGTGTCATCTGTAAATGTGTGTAGAGGCACGTGCGTGCCTCAGTACTGGGTATATGCTGCAAAATGGACTAGGAGACAAACAGGCAGCTTCTCCTCCGCAGGCGCTGTGTCTGATGAGGATTGATCTTGTGTTTGTCTCTGCTGCTGAGTCGCTGTGTTCTGAGTGAGTGCTGGTTGGTTTTACATGCAGAGACGTCTTGGCACAAAGCAGAAGAAGAATGTTGATTGTTTAGTCTTCTATCCAAGACACACTGGGCCACTGATCCTGGATCAGGATGGATGTCGCTGAATGGAGATGAATGGAGTATTGTAAAGCTCATGTGATTGCTGTTACACCTCAGCTGGCGTACGATTACTTACTACTCCAGCAGGATTAGCAGCATTACAGCTCACGAGCCTCCTGATTTTAAATGTATGTCTGTCTGTGTGTGGTGATCTTGTGTTTGGCTTTCAGATCTGAGGACAGTTTGTCATGCTTGATTTTAGAGATGAGGTTAGAATTCGGTTTAGGATGGGCAGCTACATTGGCATTTAGCTTAGCAGACTCCTGAGAATCAAGGGCAGCTAAATGGAAAATTGCTAATAATGAAATATTTTGCTGAAAAGTTTAATTAACAACCACCTGTTTCATATATATAACTATAAGATAACCCTGTCCTCAGTGTGGCAACCCATTTGTCAGTTTTTCATGGCTTCCAGTTCAGCCAGTATTAGATTCCTGTTTGTTTTCCAGGTCATTGTTTATAAAAGCACATAAAATATTAAAGCTAATAAAAAGTTTAACTCATAGTTGGTGGATTAAACATTCAAGGACCAAACGTGTCTTTATCAACCTTAATAGGCAATTTGTTGTACAGTCAGAAGAAGTCGCACAGAAGGTTTCAAGTACGCAGTCTTAAATAAACAACAAATGAAACATGAAAACACACTAAAAATGTAGAAGTCCAGAATAAAGTAGGATTATTATAAAGTTAGTGTGTTATTTAAAAGCCCAGTGGCAGCCGAGGCAGATAAGGTTTAGTCTTTGCCATTTGTGTTGGTATACTGTGTCTGAAGTCAAACAGAAGCAACGTGAGCTCCTCAGAAAAAGGGCCAAGATCAGCCACGGCTGACTGGCCTTCTTGGAAGTCCTAGGCTCATGTGCAATGTTGCTGCTGATACCTTGCAGTCTACTTTTTTTTTTTTTAAGGTTCAGTGACATGTACCAGGCAAATGTGGATGTAAGAGCAGATTCAATGAAACATAAACACCACAAAGTTTGTGAAAAAAGTACATGTGCTGCTAAGTTTTTCTTTAACAGGCACCCACTTGAAGCTCAAAGGTCAACAGCACGCACATAAATGGTGAATAGTACTTGAACTAAAGGCTAGAAACTAGACTGGAAACCAGGAAGGTTTCCTCACTAAAAAATTCTCCCATATTTACAGAATCTGATTACGGGGACCCTCATGTTACTCATTGTTATGGTCAATATATCAACATGAAAACGTCATGATTTTGCATTCTTAAAATGTATTTTGTTGTCAAAAATAGTGGTGAAAATACATGCTTTCTTTTGTTCACATTTTCCTGGTGTCCCAACACGAGTGAATCAGCTAATGCTAAAAGTTGATGCTGTTTTATAGGCAAATGGTCGTCACACCCAATATTGATTTTAAAATGTCCATTTCCTGCACTTTGTATGACGTCAGTACTTCACTTTGAGTGAGATGATTTGATTTTCACTGTGTTGGATTCCTGTGGTCTTTGGGGAAATTGTCTTGGTCTTTGCTCAAATTTAGATGTGTTACTGTAAGAGGTTTCTCATTTCTGATTAGATTTTTTTTTTTTGAAGCACTAATTTCTGCAAGTGTCTGTGTAAACCCGTGACTTGCTTGTGCCTCTCGTGCACGCTGTTCATGTGTGTTCATCTGTGTCATTGAGTTAATGGAGGGTCTTGGCCTCGGTAATGGAACCCCTCCCTGTAGGCCGTGGATAATTTAATTAATGTCAACCGTCTCTCCATCCCTCCTCCCTTCCTTGTGACTCATCTGTGTTATTCTTTGGCTTTGAACACTTCGTCCTCATCTACTTGCATTAACTCACTGTCTTTGGCTGGTTTCAGGCCAAACCCTGCAAGAATCTCTTAAGAATCACCCTTTTCTTGCTTTCTTTCTGCCTATTTTTCTTTCTCCAAACACTCACTTAACGCTTTAGGTAAAGAAAATAGTCAAACATGTAAGTGGCAGCTGAATTTTCTTGCACAACCTCCTTCCAGTTTATTCATTCTTCATTGAGACAGGAACAGTTGATTCATTTTTGCCCAGCTCATTACTCTTCCTCCCTCTACAGCAGTGCTTTTAATGTTTATGGAGGGAGAGCCATTTGTGGAGTCACTGTAATGATCCATGATGTAATGGCGTACCTTGTAATTCTTAAGAGGAGCAGCAGTCTAAGTAAGGCTCAGTAAGGCTGCACCCAAACAGACACAGCAGCTGGTTTTCTTTCTTCAGTGTTCACTTTTAAATTGGTGCCACTTTCGTCTGTGGCTGTTCTTGTATGTTCTCTGAATGAATGATGATTGGGTCTGATTTCTTTTGTGTTTCCAGGTGGAATCGCAGGTGGCATAGAGATCTGCATCACCTTTCCCACAGAGTATGTCAAGACCCAGTTACAGCTGGATGAGAAGGCCAATCCACCAAAATATAGAGGAATAGGTTTGTATGCAGTGAGTGGAATAGTGTAAAATGAGTGGAATTCATTCACCAGCCACTTCATTGGATATGCTTGTTCAGTCACACATTAATGTGAACATCTAATTAGCTAATCACATAGCAGCAGCTCAGTGCATTTGAGCATGTAAATATGGTCAACCTCCTGAAGTTCAAACCAAGAGTCACATGAATCATGAGAGAAGAGGACATAAATACAGACTCATCAGCAGGCAGATGTAAACAGAAGGCAAACGTTTATTTAGGCTGATTACAAATCCATTAAATGATGAGGAACTCAAAACTCATAGCACTTCAAAAACTGTTAGAGACACACAGGGGCAGTAACAGAAATATGAGGGTAATTAGCATACCTGGACACAGCAGGGTATTGAGAGACAGGTGAAAATAAGGAGGAGAAAGACAACTTAACACTGCACACTGAAAAAGAGTAACGATCAGAATAAAACAGGAAGTGATAGCAATGACTCAATTGGGGAAAAACAGATTCACGAATTCCAGTATGAATTTAATCTGGGATAAAAATGTCTTGATGCATGCTCAATCATCCAGGCAATGAAATCCCAGAAAGTTGATTCTGTTACTCTTCGTCAGTCATCCAAGTGGCTTCTTCAGTTTCAACATCCAGATGCACAAAATCAACTTTCTGGGATTAATCTAGGGTAGTTGACAAAAGATGATGGAACGCTTTACATAAAACAGCCTGGCCATGTCCGTCCTTTTATGACCACAGTGCATGCATGGCCCATGTCATCCTGTCTGGTTCTTTTTGGTTGCGTTATCATTTAAATTTTTGTTTTTTACATGCAACACATTTCATCAACCCATCAATGGACTGCTTTACACCAATGATATGTACTTACAGACATTTTGTTTATTATTGAGTCTGTTAAGCTTTTGTTAATATTTATAAAATTGGAAGCATAACTCTATTCGTGGCATTTGAGCAAGTCAAAACACTAGCATGGTGTACCTAATGAAGTGACCAGGGAGTGCAGGATTTAATCTGGTGGCAGACATCTACTACAGGCTCAAAAACAAAATTCTTTATTACTTTTATTCGAATTTTCAGCAAAACCTAATAAAATAAACAGTATTTCTGCAGCAAGAGAGCATAAACAATGATAAAAAAAACATACAATAATCCAATAAAAGCAACACTCTTGGGAGCTCATTATCTAATTACCCATCATCCCCAGGTACATTAGTGATTCTGGCAGGCTGTCACTGTGCTTGTTTATATGACTTAGATCAGACCAATGCACACTCGCCATCCATGCATACGAGTGTACACACACCCAGGATCTGTGGATATCATTTGAGGATTTGAGGATTGGAGACCGTGCTAATGAGCACTCAAGACAGCTGCTGCTTTTCTTGTTCAGTTGGCTTCATTGGAGAACTTTGATTGCTGGACTGATGCAGCCAAGAGCCAGGAACAAGCTTAAAGTAAAACACCAGATTTTGTGAAAATATCAGCTGAGGTTCAGCTTATCTGCAGCATATATATTATTATAGTTAATTACTGTTGCTACATGCTCTTTTGTGATGTTGATGATTGAGGTGTAAATGACAAGTGTATTGGTGTATTCTCTAAAGGGTTAATGCACTCAGCCTGAAAAACAGACAAATTGTAGAATTTTTATATTTGAACATTAGAAAGCAAACTGTGTTGTATGCAGATATGCATATCATGTTCATTCTATAACATTTGCTGCTGCTGCTTGTGTATCTGCTTTAGGCGACTGTGTGAAACAGACAGTACAGAGTCACGGTGTCAAAGGGCTGTACAGAGGTCTCAGCTCTCTGCTGTATGGATCCATACCCAAATCTGCTGTCAGGTATGTTATAAAGCAGAGGTCTATCATGTGCAAGGTAAATACATTTGCTTGAGCATAATTTGTGATGTAATATTCTCAGTTTATTAAGTTAAAATATGGCTGACGTGAAGAGCAATGTCCACAGTCACAACACAGTAAATACTGCTTGCAGATTTACTGCACTTCTACTTTATTACGGTGTAAGAAAATGGAATCAAAAAGTGATGCTGTATATACTCCTCCTCCTTCTGCCCCTCTTAGTTCTCCTTTCCTCCTCCTCATCATTGTATAAAATCACAGAAATCACAGTTTTTTGTTTGTTTGTTTAAAAAAAATTTTTTTGATTGTCTTTAGGAGGATGTGTGGTCAGCAGATCTATTTTCACATGACACAGCAGTTAGTGTGAAGGAATTGTTTTAGGGGACACATTTTAGATACCTTCACTTTGTTAATTAACTGAGCATGTACACAGTATTAAAGGCAGAGGTAGCCATTGTGACCATTTGTTATGAAGGTCCTGTTTTGAGGCCTAGGGCAGAGCGTTTTCGTCATGGTGTTTTGAAAGTACCTGACGAGCAAAGGGTGGATTGACAGCATAGTGAGACTATCTTCATTTCTGAAACAAAAGACTGAGCTCATAAATTCATCAGGAAAGTGTTTACTGATGTTACAGAGCAACTGAGCTGAGGGCTGTTTTCCCATAGACTTCTATACAACAGTAACCTGCAACGTGAGGAATCCCCCCCGCTGGCTATTAGATAGAATGGAGATTTAAGTTACTTGCTCAATGGCTTCATTTTTTTAGACCTAGAAGCTACACCCAGCTTTTATGCTATGTATGGGATACACCCCTTCCTCAGATTGCTTGCATCATTCTATAAAGAATAATAAGAACATAAAATAAGAATAATTTTAATTTAACCCATGTGTCATTTTTTAAAGAGCTTTTTCCCCTCTTTCTTCTCATTGACATTTTTCTTGATATCAGACAGAAATGACACTTGAACTCAAAACCTTCTAAAAAAGTTTTTGCTTTTAACTTTGTTGATTAAAATCTTAGATCTCATGCTCATATTCTAATAATCACAAACTGGTAGAGAGTACATATGTACAAATACACATGCACCGAAGGAACGTGGAATGAAAGGAACCCTTTTAGCTAAAGCCGCTGTGATCTTCTACCTGAAACCATTAACTCACACACTCCAATTATTCTAGTCCATTACTCACAAGGCAAGGCATAAATGCCACACTAGCATTCAGTATAATTATGTTATTCTTTTGTAGCAGTGACATTTATCTTCAGACAAGTGCGCACACACACACACACACACACACACACACACACACACACACACACACTTGTGTAGCTATCTTTGTGAGAACATTTATGGACATATTACACTCCCTAGTGCCTTACCCAATAGAAACCTAACTCTTACCTTTTATCATAATAATAATAATAATGAATTGCATTTTATATAGCGCTTTTCACGACCCTTCAAAGCGCTTTGCAATACCACTATTCATTCACTCTCACATTCACACACTGGTGAAGCCAAGCTACAGTTGTAGCCACAGCTGACCTGGGGCAGACTGACAGAGATTGAAAGTGAAAGTATTAACCCTCAAACAGCCCTTTGAAGGGGTGTGGGAAAATGAAAAATCTTCACTTCCTCACTGTGTCCTCACTCCATTGTTCTAAAACTCAAACTGATCCTCATAAAGATGGTTGTACATACGTACATATACACACACAAAATAAAGAAAAGAGAGAGGGGATAGGAGGCAAAACGAATAAAATGAAGAACAAAAAACTAACAACAAAAGTGTGTGCGTGTGTGTGTGTGTGTGTGTGTGTGTGTGTACACACAATAGAGAGACAGGCCCAGCCAGGCGGAGCAAAGATGCCACTCAAACTCCGACAGGGTCTCAATAGGGTTACAAACAGGGAGACTTGGGTGTGTTTATGCTGATGCACAGTGTGTGTGTGTGTGTGTGTCAATCAGACTTTAGCGTCATTTTAAGAGCGAGTCTGGATGGTTTTGTTTAAGCTCAAAGGAGAATTTTCTGTGAGGGAATATGGCAAAATGGAGAAAAGCCGTTTATTGCCATAGAAATGTTATAAAGGAATATGATGTCATTTATATATGGATTTTGGACTCTTTCTACTGTGCAGTGAAGTTTAAAAATCTTTATAAATGGCCATATTGCATATTAGCATTCGTATAACATGCTCTCTGTGGTGTATACACATTTAGGCCAGGAATCTTTTAAGCTTGTGACCCATTTAGCTGTTGACTATTATCAGCTGTTTAACTTTTTTTATATTTTGTCAGCCCTAAAGAAAAAATATTAAAGATGCTTAAAAAAATCACAAAAAGGACAAAATTAAAGGCAGATTTGAAACATATAAATGGTCCTGCAAAAATGCTTTTTCTACTTGATACTGAAATAGAAGAGACTAAACAAACTGATAATGATATTTTGACTTTTTGTGATGGGTAAGGTCATCTTCTATTTCTGCTCTTGAGATCAGCCTACTTTGAAAATTAAAACTACATACAAGTGGTCAAATTTTATACAGAAATGTGTATGAAATGCCTTTGTCTCCATTGTTTACATGTCTTTTTGTCTTTTTCATTTAAGATTCTTACCCCTTTAAATGTCTAATAATAATGATTATTATAGTTATAATTAAATCTGCAGCCATTAAGACCAAAAGAAAAGCGGTATATTTAAAAGGATCAGAGGGAAAACCAGTGACTTCAAAATACTGCTGAAAATAAATACTTGAGTTTAAAAAAATGAAAAATGAATATGAGAAATTAAAAATTGCTGAGATTTGGAAAGCTAGTTTTAATTAATGGAGAATACCTTGACACTTTTCTATTAAGCACTGCTTGGTCTGCTTAGTTTTTCTACCCCCTGCCTTTTTTTTCTTACTTCCTCCATCTTCTTTCCCCTTCGTCTTTTCCATCACTTCTTTTCCTCCAGCCCGCTCATTCCATTAACTGATTGCCTGTGCACCCTCATGTGCCATGGAATGTGCTGGAAGGTTGTCAGGGAGGTAAGAGAGGGACATGCAAGAGAGCTTTTGACCTTTATCTCTCCTTAGCTCTTCATCCATATCAGCATCAGCATTCTTTCTTGTCCCTTTCCTTTCCTTTCCTTCGTCTTCTCGACAGAAAAAAGTGACCCTATAAAAACGACCCCCTAACGAAGACTGGGCAGCAGTCCACTATCTAGGATGACTCATCTGTGACTGTGGATGTCAGCCAAATGATGTGTCACATTCTGACTGTAAAGTTTAGTCCACTTGTTAAATGAGTCTGGGAGAGGCTATAGAGTAAATTGGCAAAGGAGAGAGCCTGACAGTAGCATATTTCTCCTCGGCAGACTTTAATGAATAGCATTTGTTTCACAAGGTTAGTCATTAAGTGCTCTGTCATCATTCTAGCATGCTGTGTGGAAGAGCTTTATATTTTAATTTGCCCTAAGCTAAAACAGTGTTTGTAGTCAGCAAATGGTGTGAGAAAAGACAGGAATTTATGTTTATGTACTGTTAGGTGCTGCTAAGGATTCAGTTTATTGTGGGGAGCTTGTCTTTCAAAGCAATCTGAATCAGTGCGAGCAGTGAGACAGGAACAGATGTGGAGAGTTAATGAGCAGAAGTAAGTCTTGGTTAGAAAGGCAGATGGAGAAGAAAACTAAAATCCGATGAAGCGAGTCTAATTTTTTATTTATTTATTTTTTTTTAGACCTGTTACAACAGCAGGTAAATGGTTCAAGCAGACTGAGAAAAGAGAGGAAAACAAAGCATTCATCAAGACCTAATGTCTGTGCTCCCCCTCCTCTTTGCTAAATGTACCAGGCAGTGTCCTCCCGCCGCCACAATTCAATTCCATCTATAAATAACCTTTCTTGCAAAGGACTTGCTGGCACAACATTTGCAGAGAAACACAAACCACACCTCTCTGTAGCTGGGCTGGCTTCCATGGCAGCTGTTGCTGGTCACACATTGGTTACTGAGACTCTGCAGTTTATTGGTTCATCTTTAATGAGGATGCAGGACGATAAAATAAAAGGCCTGAACACATTAGGCTGTTGCAGCAGTTTGCTTTCTCCAAAAATCTGAGTTGGAAGAAGCTTTCTAATTTCATCTGTGCTCACTGAGACATGAAAACCCTTACCTTTGCCTGCAGTATTTGAATTTAGTTTACTTAATTTTAGTAAAAACAAACGTGACTACAGTGGGTAGTTTAATTTCTTAAATCAACTGTGAACTTGCAATGTTGCCACGTGAAAGACTGAAATAATCTGAGTATTTGTAGAAGAAATTATTTCACAGTTTACGGTATAATCACAAAGATTGCTCACATCTAATTATTAAATGAGATTAACTTTGTTATTCAGTCTGTTTTTCTCAGACACTCCTATGTCTACATTTCCCATAATTCTTTGCTGGCTTTTTTTCTACTTGTTAGGTTTGGGGTGTTTGAGTTCCTCAGTAACCACGCCAAGGATGAGTCCGGTCGACTGGACAGCACCAAAGGCCTGCTGTGTGGGCTTGGAGCCGGGGTCATGGAGGCTGTTCTGGTGGTCTGCCCAATGGAAACAGTCAAGGTGTGTTTCTGAAGCTCATCTGAGCTGACGCTCAAATATAGAGAGAGCAACAGTGTCAATGTATGAAAACTTTAAGATCAAGTGCAATAGTTTGGTGCCTTTGTAGGTCCACTGTGAATTATAATCTATAAATTATGAACTGCAAATAATGAAATTTTACTAAATGGGATAAGAGATATTTGTGCATTTTAAAATCACTTCATGTTAAAGGGACTTCAGTGCAAAGATGGACATCTCAGGATGTTCATAATCTGTTGTCTAAATGGACCGTTTGTTAAATGTGACCATTTTCAGAAAGTGGGCAGCATGATGGTGCAGCAGTTAGAGCTCACATCACCTGAAAAACCTCAATAAGGTTTCTGGTTGTAATTTTTGTCTGCTGGGGCCTTTCTGTGGGGAGTGTGCATGTTGTCTCTGTGTCTGTGAGGATTTCCTCCCACAGCTCAAAGACAGGTTTGGTTGTGTGGATGTGAGAGGGTGTGGTGTTCTGCTTCACTGTTTTAGCCCTGTGAGAGACTGAGGCTATTTCGGCTGCAATTTTGGATTCTACCGATTATTAAAAGATTACTGAGATAAAATAGTTAATGTGCCACATTCTGTGCAGGCTGTGGCTTGTATACAGTTTGATATAGCCACAATTTTATCAGAGTCTATGAAGAATTGTTAAGAATGACTTATAAGTTATTCTCATCATGATTTTTGTCATATTGTGTCTTCGGCCTATGAAGTAAAACTAGTTGAAAAGCACTGACTGAAGGTTAAAGTTACCAACCTTTTAGAAATATTCTTTGAAAGAGAACTACACTAAACCTCTTCAGTTTTCACTCCCACATCTGTAAAATGTATCGTCTGTATTTTTGTGTCTTTAATCTCCCAAGGTTAAATTCATTCATGACCAGACATCAGCCAACCCCAAATACAAGGGATTCTTCCACGGAGTCAGAGAGATGATCAGGGCTCAAGGTAAACGTGGGCTTCATGCATGACATTCACCTGACATCTGCTGGTTGGTTAGGGTAATGCAGTGGGAAACACTGACCCTGGTCAAGGATCAACAACAATATTCACTCTCATATCATTGTGTAAATCATCAGACATATATGTCAGAGAGTCACCAGGAAAAGTTTTGCAGCATTAAAAATGTAAATATGTAAACAAACAAGTCCAGTGTTTTAAGACTCTGAAAACATGTTCAAATAGGCATGGTTAGGGTAATATGTGATATGTGTTGAAGTGCTGCCCCCCTGCCCTCCCCCTCCAACAACATTTACAGCCTCTCATACTGCTTTTAGTTCTTAGCCCTTAAGTTGGAAATTGGGATTGGGCTGTGGTATTCGGGTTCTTCTCTTTATTCAATGTGCTGTCTAATTTAATTGAAGAAGGATTTATTAACTTATCCTCTGGCTTCCGGTTTGAACAGGATTAAGAGGGACATATCAGGGTCTAACTGCAACAGTCTTGAAGCAAGGCTCCAACCAGGCTATTCGATTTTTCGTGATGACTTCTCTCAAGAACTGGTACAAAGGTGCGTGTACACGAGTACAGCTGGTTTATTCATTTCTTTGTTATTGCTATAAACAATATTTAATAAAAAGAGACCAACTCTGCAAATGGTCTGAAGGGTTATTGTAGGTCATTGGGCAGTTCTTTGAACCCCAGTTGGGTTTCCAAACATAGTAATAATACAGTGTGTGGAGATTGATATATAGAGGATTGCTTTTAATATTTATGATGTGAAATTAATTAGCACATTAGTGTCCTTCATGTTAATGAGTTTAGAACTAACTCTGATTTAGAGCTAACCCCACCCTTCATACTGCTCTGTCACATTCATAAGGTGATAACCCCAACAAAGCAATAAATCCACTGCTGACTGGACTCTTTGGAGCCACAGCAGGAGCAGCCAGTGTATTTGGAAACACTCCACTAGATGTCATCAAGACAAGGATGCAGGTACATAATGCAACAGATGCTACAAATCACACGCTTTTTCTTACTTGCTTATGTTTTTAAATACAAACGTGCAACCCTTGGACAGATGTACTAATGCTCTTCTGCTTTTTCTAAAGGGTCTAGAAGCACATAAATATAAAAGCACGCTGGACTGTGCCATGAAGATCTTGAGATATGAAGGGTTGGCAGCGTAAGTACACCTCCATGTTTTATTTCGTTTGGTTTGGCTTGTAGTGTTGGTTTCACGGCTGATTTAAAACAACACAGCTTTAAAAAAACAATGTCTCTTTCTTTACTTCACAGATTCTACTGTCAACACTGTATAAGAAATGCTTTTTGGCTTTAGTTTATTACTCCAAAGAACTTGAGTGAAAAAAATCTAAACTCAAACACTTTAAGAATAAGAATGTGCCAAATGATTAAAAAAAACAAAAACTAATCAAAATACTGTAGAATATAACCCTAACCGCAGATAAATATGGCTCCACCCTAAACAATTAATGTCTTACATGCTCCTCCCTCTTTCTTTATCCCTCTACAGGTTCTATAAAGGAACAGTTCCCCGGCTTGGCCGTGTATGTCTTGATGTGGCCATAGTTTTTATCATCTACGAGGAGGTCGTAAAGGTTCTGAATATGGTCTGGAAGACAGAATAGGTGGTTGGACATACGACGAAGGTGGCAACTTCCTCCTTCACAAGCATCAGACATAGATCTGACTTCAGCAGGCCTCTTTTGTGTCATGAAACCAACAGCAGAAGGGGTGAAAAAGAGAGCTGAACTTAGATTAGTGTTGTATGCAGAGCAGGAAGTCAATATACTCGGAGACAAAAGAAGAAAAGGGGGCCTGACATCACCTACACCTAGTGTAAATGATGCTGAGCATCAACATTCCCTGACAAGATTGAAGAAAAAGAAAGATAAATGATAATTAAATAATATCAATAATAATAATAAAAAGAACCTTTATCCTAAAGCTGCATCACCAGTTTATAAATATATATAAAATACTGGCCAATAGCATCGCCAGCAGCAGCACCTTTATTTTAAGTTATCTGGTTTACTTTCTCTGTAAGCCTCTGTCAGGGAAGCGCATTATTTGTAGTCATTCACAGCTGTTTTACTGCAAATATGCAGATATCCTGCTGGATTTTCTTGAGTTTGCGTTGCTTTCTGTCTCTTCTAAAAGTCCAGAGGAGCCAGAGTGCAACTGGTTGCAACTTCCATAGTTAGGCCTTAAATAAAATTGGTTTATAACCTGCCATGTATTTTTATACAGTGTAGATTCGATTTAGTTTATTGATAACTTACAGAATATTATATATTTTAATTCCTGTGCCAAATGTCAAACCTATTGTGTTATGAAAGTCTGTTCAGAAGAAAGCAAAAGTAACCTAATTATCTAAAGAGAATAGTAAATATTATGACTATGTAGTGTGAGATACATAATTTTTGAAAGTGAATTATTAAATAGAGAATTAAGAGAATATTTGCTGTTAATCTGTGCCACACTGTTGTTGTTGTTTTTTTTCTTTATCGGGTGTATAAATGTTTTTTTTAAGATGTGGAAATTATTTAGTTGCTTTGTATATCACTGTGAGTCTACAAGACACAATGAGTCGTTTAGACAAAGTAACATCGGGCTTCTATTTTGCTTTTAGTGGAGACAACACCTCTCACTGGGTCATATTTTACCAACCTGACTCCACCCAGTGTGGATTTTTGTTCTGTTTACATTAGATACAGTTTTACTTTTTTTTAAAATTATTATTATTATTTCTGCTAAATACACTGCTTGGCCAAATAAAAAAAATTACAAATTCTAATATTTTATTGGACCGGCTTTAGCTTTGACAACAGCATGCAATCATCAGGGCATGGTTTTGATAAGCTTATGGAATATCACAGCATTTATTTCTATCCAGGGTTGGTTTGATTTTTTTCTTTTTTGCCAGGATCTTGTATTGATGACAGCAGTGTCAGGCCACTGTGAACATCACAAAGATTCTCAATGAGTCTGCGGCCAATTCATGTGTGAAAACGATGATTTGTGTTCCCTGACCTGCTCTTTCACAATATGAGCATGACAAATTTTGGCATTGTCATCTTGGAATCTGACCGTGCTATCAGGAAAGAAACAAACATTACTCGCCATGATGTATGCATCACTTCATCTGCCTCTTTTCTTACCCCAGTGCACCAATGACTCTGGAACAGGGACCTCATCAGACAACATGCCTTTATTTATTTATTTTTTACAATGCTCCAGAGTCCAATCTTTATCCTCCTGAAGTGGCATTAAATCAAGTTCACGACCACAGGATATCACACGATTCTTTAAGAAAGAGAAATTACTCACTGCATCAATTAGGGTCCAACCTGTTGCCATCTGAAATTTCACTATCTGTCCAATGGAAGGATCCTAACTATTTGCTTCATTCCAGGTGGTGACTTTTTTTTTTCTGGGCAGTATTTGTTTCTTATACAAATTGTTGGATGATTGTTGGAAATCAGTTTGTTCAGTTTCCAGCGTCATTCTGTTTCAGTGCCATGTTTCATTCAAAGTTGATCTCCATGTGCCTTTTGCGGGTGTGTTTGTTGGCGAAAACATCTTGACCAGTATCCTCATGCATTATCCAGCCTCACCAGGGTGACAGTAATTTCTATGATGGTTAAAACGGTTAACGTTTACATAACCGACATCATGCCATCAAATCCAGAAACCCTAATTTTTAACGTTTCTGTAAACACTCATGAATGTTGTTGTTTTTTTTATGACTGGCATTCACCCTGTTCTGTCCTTTTAGGTGTGACAATAGCTTATTTCATGTTTAATTAACCTGCTCTTTAATCATCTTACAAGAAGACTGTGTGGTCTGGACATGTTTTTATAATAACAACAAGGGGTCTGCTTGTTCTAGTTGTTACCACTGTTCGAGTATTGTAATCCTCAAAATTGTCTTTTATTTAGTATTCATGAAAATATTATTATTATTATTATTATTATTATTATTATTATTATTATGTATTTTCTGCGCAGCCAGACAAAGTATTCATGTTCGCCACTGCCAGACAACCAAGAGAACATTATACTGTGATAATAAATCAGTGTATTCCAATGCTGTGTATATGGAATTGTATGTTTGTATGCGTGTGCGTGTGTGTGTGTGGGTCATGTTGATGAAGCTTGTGCAATAAATGTCCCTTACTTAATGTCTGTGCTTTAATCTAAAGTTGTTTGTTGTAGGGCGATTTGAAAACAAATTAAAATAAACATCTGAAACCTTGAAAGCATGCAGTCTGGTTGTTTTTGTTGCCCTCCTCGCTCGTTAACTGTTATTCTGCCCTTTTCCTCACTGCAGATAACATCAGGACAAACCGGAGGGGGGGAGCAGGTAGGGGAGGAATCGAACAAGGAACTCCTTCTTCTAGTTTTGGCTGTTGTGCCTGTACAGTGAACTGTAACTATCCATGCTTTCTCTCTCTCTCTTTCTTACTCATTTCGTTACTCTCGTTCTCACGCATTATTCAAAACACTGGTTCAGGAATGCACAGCTCTGCAGAAGATGACTTGAAATTTTTAGTTTGAATGAGGAAGTAGAAGGACTCATAAGTAAAACGCTAGCAACAAAGTAAAAAAAAAGTACTCACTGTGGGGAATTCTTTTGCAGAGTTTTTGGGAGAGTCCAGCTAAACTTGAAGCTATCTAATGCAATACTGTAATAAATCCATTAATTGGGTCATAATGTTGTGTTTGTGATGTTTGTGATATAATTCCTTGACTTCCCCCCTTGTGCAACCTCAACATCTTTACAGTATAAAGATTCTTGTGGCTTGGCTCAGTTCCATCGAGGCACCCTGACATTTTCTCACACACTTTACTCCCGGGCATCACTTGATCCAGATCCTGCAGTCCTTCAGCACATCAAGGTGTTTGTAAATGTTCTGTCACACTCTGTAATTAACTCATCTTAGCTGAAACTCAACAAAGAGCTTTTAGTAGGTGACATCAGAAAGGCCTAGAGACTGGTGTGAGCAAACACCGAAGGTCTCCTTGGAGTGTGATAACAGCGTCTCCAGAGATGTTATTCAGTATCAGTAGGTGGAAGGAATGCATGCTGTGTGCAAACATCTTGAGGATATTCCTATACACTCACTATTTTACGGTAATAGAGGAGCACGTGTGAAATGCTGACTTTAAACAAATGTGATGTACAATCCAATTCTGGGCTCGTTGTCATGGTCCTGGGTTTTTGTGTTTCTGGGATTTGAACATTTTGTGAATAACTTCACTTTAGGTTTTTGTTTCAGTTCTGTTATTATGTTAGAATTTTACGTTGTTTGTTTCTTTAACCTTGAGAAAACAAGGTTAAACCTATTAAACCTACTATTATTTTATTACTCCAGTATTTAGTGAGTGAGTGTTAGTTTATGTGCTTTTGAGTCTGTGATTCCTGGTTTTACCTTATGACTAGTCTACTGATAGTTTTTTCTCTCTCTCATGTCTTGTTAATGACTGTTCCTCTGTTTCTTTCATGTCTACTGTGATCCTTCTGATCTCCCTGTTTAGTATTTGTCTTTGGTTTGTTCCCTGTGTTACTTTGAAGATTAGTTTTGTTTCATGTGTGTCTCTCTCTCACACACACAGCCTGTGTCATTTGTGCAGTCTTGTGATATTCTCTGTCTCATGTTTTTTCTTTGTTTTTCCCTTCTTTTTCCTTTTTAATTTAAATGCTATCCTAATTTCAGGATTTAAAAACATTTTTCTCTGATTTTATTAATTCTTTTTCTCCTGTTTCTACTGTAATTCATTTTCATCATTGTATAAGTTTATCTTGCACATCCTGCATTTATGGCCTCCACACAGATTCACACTCATTTTCAATCACAGTGGATATTTGATTTCTTTCTCAGGGCAACAAACAAACAAACAAAAAAACTAAAACAAACATTGACAGCCAAATGCTGTTTTTCATTATCCTGACAGAAACTAAACTTTGCACCTTTATCACAAAAACAGATTATTCAAGTTGGTGATTTATATAAATATAGTTCTAAGGAAATGAACTGAAGTACTGTAAACTACACATTTCATCTACTTTAAGCACTAGGGGGCGCTGTTTATCAAACACGCGTACACACTTCAACGACGAGAACGCCCCCTCCTCCCCCCCTCCCAACCTCTTCGAGTGCGCACAATAGGGCTTTATGAGGAGCGGCATCATAACGCTGTCTTCCTCTTCTTCTTCCTTTCTGCTGCTCGGCAACGAGCAATAAACAAGAAAAAAAATATTGTTTCTTGAGAGTAGCTTGACTGTGTTGCCAACTTGCAGCTTGTAGGCGGTTAAACGAACTGAGTATGTTTAATGAAAAACATTTCCAAAGAATTGGCGCAAGTTTATGTGTCACTCTACTGCCCCTTACCCCAGCCCCCCACAAAACTTTTTACTTAAATATTTCTCGAGAGCAAACATGTTTGAATCTTTTCATGGTTATAAAGCAATGCATTAAAACAAGCAATTTTAGAACATGGAGCTTGAATAATTAATAAAGCTCCGAAAAGGACTCGCAACTCCTTAGAATACTTCATACAGATTTGTACATCAGTACAACCGCTGGATTCAAAAGCAGGACAAAGAGTTGCAGATCCAGCATTTTCTATACGTTTGTGACCGTAACTAAAGTGGAGGAAAGCTATTGTCTTTGCATTTGTGCTTTTACAGTATCCGCCATGGCTGTTTTTCTCCAGCCAGAGCCAGTGAAGAGAAAGTAATTTCATTGTTCTCCAGTCTTTCTCTCAGCGGGATGGATGCACTTAGTTCTTCGGCATGAGTGGACATTATTTTGTTGCTGCGGCTCAAAAGGACCTCGTCAAATTGCCCGGTGGCAGCAGACTGAATGTTGATTTCTCTTTCGTTTAGTTTTAACGTAACATTAAAATGACCAGGCCGCTGTCCGTGGTGCTGAATTCGATTTTGTGATCGGAAGAGCTGATATGGACAAAAACCTGTTACACAATATTTACACTCACTGCAACAGAAATCGCGTAGCATGCATTTTTCATTTCAGGTGTATGCAGCTGTTTTGTTAAAATGTGTCTAATTTCAGACCTTATACAGGCCCTCGTTGAGGCTTATTTTGCTTTTCCATTTTAATCTTGGCAGCAGCAGGATGCCAAAATATTTTGAAACTCATATATTTATTTATTTATGTACCTAAAACCTCACACACAAGCTAGAGAGAGAGAGCAAGGTTGGTGCTGTAAGTCTGTAAGTACCGAACAGTAGCTTGGGGGCGGTGTCCTGTTCACTAAAAGAGGAGTTAGTGAGCGCGCACGACTCCACTTAAATTTTACGCGTCACTTGTTCGTCCAGGCGTTTACACAGAAGATACCTCGTTTTCTGCACAGGCAGGACCATGTTGCACTTGGATTTTATATAGAAAATACAAATTTCACCTTAATAACATTATTTGATTATTATTATTTATTTATTTTTTTTTTAAAAAAGGCAACAACAGCACAGAGCAGCAGCAGCGTGTGTGGAGCAAGTGGTCCCAGAAAGATTTCCGTCATGGGAGCGTGTGGATGGAGCTCAGCGCGTCTTGGCTTTGTCGTTTGGGGATTTTTGGCATTTTTCTGCGGAGAATTTGTCCCACAGGCTGAAGCAGGCTGCAGGGAGCGAGAGAGCCCCAACTGCTGCACCGGCCGGAACAACGAATGTTTTGAGTACTCCAGGAGGAAAACAGTGTGTTACTGCGATACCTACTGTCAAAAAACAAGAGACTGCTGCGAGGACTATCAGAGCGTTTGCCAAATATCTGGTGAGTTGTTTGCTCTGTTGTGCTCGCTGACATTTGATATCAGATAACAACAGTTTTGTCTATTTGAAGTTTGAAAGCTCAAAGAGCGAGGAAGAAATAAGGTATGTAGTGTATATATGTTTTGAATCCTATCCAATGACTGCTGCTGTTTATTGTTGCTCAGTTTTGGGGAGGGATGGCTGCCACTGAGGTGACACGTAGGGAGTGAGACATACTACACGTAGCTGTTTTTAATATGCCCAATATGGCTCTTTGTTTTAAGTGACCAGCGAGAGGTGACTACTGTCTGCCTAGTGTGGTTTTACATTTGTAGACCTTCACATCACAGCTTCACATTGCACAGCCTGGACATTAAGTGGTCTGAGAGACCATAACAACATTAGTTTCGTCTTAAAGCAAGAAAAATGACCTTAAATTAGAAACACTCATTTGCTTATTCCTTAAAACGTATTTGTGGGCAACCCCCCATGATCAACCAGGCTTTTGCTATATATGGACAAATGAGGGAACAGACACCATGGAAACAGACCGCCAAAGATGGTCAGAATTACAGTGGAGCTGTGTCTTAGATGTGACAGACAGGAAACACTCTGACCTGTAACAAAAACAACTCTTATAGTGAAGTATTTGGCACTACTCAAGTTCACAAAGAGATTTCTCTGGCATAAATACCCTGAGAATGTGACCCTCTTAAGCACACTTGCGGGGTCAGTCCTAAAGGGAAAAGAGCTTTTAAACTGTGGAGCAATCCCACTATTATATACAAGCTGGTTTGAGTATTTTATCTGTTCTGTGATGTGATAGGCTGCCCCATCCAGACTTCAACCACTAACTTAAAACTGTGTACACAACTAACACAAGGGCAGTTGTAATACACTTCATTAGACCTCACTGTTTAGTATAAAGAGCCCATAAACACCTGCTAATCAATTTTAGCTGTAATACTGCAGTTATCAGAGCTACACTAGTTTTTGTACAGGTTAAAGCTCAGCTAAGGAGCATATGGTAATACAAGGGATCTAAAATGGAATAAGGATCCAGCATTTCATCTTTGCTGTATTATCAGGCTTTAGAAAAGCTAGGCCATGACAGGAGACTTCACTCAATGTCTTTAAAAAAGATCAGGCTGGTGGCATAAAGTAGCATGAAAGATGAAGAGGATTATTCAGGAATGAAGACATATTAGTAAACTAGTAGAGAGAAGAATTTTGAATCCAATGCGAAACCAAAGGTCAGTATTAACTCCCCCTTTCAGCCACCTGCGCATGCTGGTTCTAGTTACGTGGGAGGGGCTTAGAAAAGAGAGGACTGCTTATTTCCAAACATTGGGAGTTTTTTTCTTCTACTTTTTAAAAAGAAAATTCTCCTTTTTTGATTTCACCCTATTGCATCTTCAGGCCTTTTGCATCATTAGGTTTAAGCCATTTTTGCATTTTCAGGATTCTTTACTTTAAATTAAACGATCGAGTTTCAGTAACAATCAGTCACACAGATTTTAAAGTACTTTAATGTAAATTTAGGCTGAATTAGACTTGAGTTTGTTTGTCTTTAAATATGCTCAAGTGAAGCAATTTATCTCAGTAAGTGCCATGTTTGCTTTTATTTTGTTTACAGTACTGTTGTAGTGAGGTGGTCCTTTACTGCAGCGTGGTGGAAATGTTGGACTGAAATTGAAATGGGGGTAGATAAGCTAAAGTATTCATAAACATCAGTATATTACTTTAAATTGCACATGAAAGAGTTAAGATTAACATACACATGAGTTTTTCTTTTGGCTTTGCTCTCAATGCCAAGCTGTTTTAATTGTTATGGAAACATTAGAAAGTGGATTTTTACTAAATAAATAAACTCTACAGTGTTTGTAAAACCAGAGATGTGACTTTTTGAAAGCAAAGGAGGAAGCAACACTTTGTGAACAGACCCAGATTTCTTTTTAATTTAACAATCAGCTAGATTGCCATTCAGAAACATCATTTTGCCATTCACAAACCAGATCCATGTGTCTGACAAGCTGAATGTTAACAGGTTAGTGTGGAGCCGTCATTGTAAAACCCTTTTATCTCAGCTCTTATCACAGCTCACAGCTGCCCGGTGCAGTTGTTTTTAAATTTTTATTTCACAGTCTGAACATAAGAATGAACCCACATGGATCAATAAACATTTTGTATGCAACCTGAAAATCTTTACAGTAAAAACACAGCATTTATCGTCAGGCTTGGCTCTGCTCCATCCTAGCCCCCTGATATGTCCTCACCCACTTAACACTCAGAGTTGATCCTGAAGCTCTGCAACACATCAAGCAGTTTGTGTGTGACGCTATTGGAGGCTGTAATTACCTCCTGTTTGCTGGAGCTCAACACAGTGCTTTGAGTGGGTGACATCAGAGCAGACACAGAAAAAAAACATGGATATAAACACTCAGAGATGTTGTTAAAATGAAGGATTTGGCAGGAGTGTGAACTGTGTGTAAACACAGAAGGACACTGTACAAGTTAAAGTAATGATTGAGCAAACGCAACCTGTGAGCAAGGGCACAAAACAGACTTTATTGTTGTTAAGAGAAGCGATGTAGAAACATAATACAAACTGTGTTAGTGGAAAAAATGCAGCTGACACCACATACAGTACAATCAGTTCATGCACAGTCCAGCGATGGCCTCATTTAATGCATTAATAACGGAAATGTTAGGTGATATTTTCTTTTCTTCTTCTTGTTACCTTGCAGGTGATTGCACTATTGTGTTTGTCTGAAACAGCAGTAGATATCTATATACCTAATACCTCCAGCACCATGTTTCATTCACTGTGATTTCCCTGCAGATGTTTCCAGGTTCCAGGCTCATTCAGCTGGATGAAACCTTATCAGCCTCACATTTTGTGGGATTTTTGGGCAGCTTGTAAAAGGCGCAGTGAACTCAACACACCATAATATAAAACTGACACACAAGCTAAATGTAAACTAGAATAATTATAGATGGACTAAACAGTTAAAGTAAATTACACTATCCACCTGTTAATTGATTAACAGGTGGATAATTGATTAACAGGCGGATAGTGGATCCACCTGTTAATCAATTAACAGGTGGATAATAGTTAGAGGTGGGATGTACTATGGACCGGTCGCCAACCTGTTGCAATGCTAATACAGGCAATCATTCATGCTGACCTTCACACCTGGAGTCAGTTTTGAATCACTAAGTAATTGAACCCCATGCATGTCTTTGGACTGTGGGATTAAGCCAGGATACCCAGTGAGAACACAGAGATCTGGACAACATCCAAACCCCACATAACCCCACAGAAAGGCCCCAGACTGGATTCAGACCCAGGTCCTTCTTGCTGCAAGGCGACACTGCAACCCCCCGCACCACTACCGTATCAATACACTTTGTAGAGGGAAAGGATGATAGAAAATGTTTTTTAAATTTAAAACTTTGAAATATATTATCTTTTCAAGGAATCTCTGCAGATGGAAACTCTCAAAAATAAGTTTCTGGTTAAATTTGAGGCTGAGAATGAGTTATGGATTTGTATATTTATGCTTAGATGAGATTTCCAACTTCGTGTAGTATTTCTTGGGATTGAAATTATAACATATAGCAAGCTGACATGATTTTTCCATTTTATGAACTTCATGTTTTGGTCATCAGTCTGGCTTATATAACTTCAGTAGTTGCAGGCTATTAATTTCCAAATGTACACCTCACAGCAAAAACTACTTGTAGGCATCGTTTGGCTGGTTTAGCAGGTCGAGCTGTTGGCCACCATTTTTATTATTCTAGCCACAAACAAAAGTAAAAGTTTAAACCTCTCACTAATTAATGTTTATCTGAAAGGAAAACATCTCACAGTAAGATTAAGAACCAAGGAACAATGAGCTTTTGCTTCTGGCATCAGCACCTCAGAAAATCTGCTTATATTTTATTATATTTTATAGAGACGTGCCAAATCGTTATTTGAAATCTTTGAAAGGTTTTTGCATTGGCAAAGATTGTGATAGATATTTAACTACCAGGAGGAAATGGGTTTTTAAAGACATACTTTGTATTGGTCAAAATCAGCACACCTTTTAAGGTGGTTTTGTCCGATTTCTCTGTTTATTCCATTCATGTATGAAATTAAACTGGATAATGCCCCCAAACAACTGCCAAATAAGGTCTCAGAGGCATTAAAGGATGGTTGAAGCGTGGTAACACTTGCTTCCAGAAGGACTTTGATGTTGTCTCCTGTTATAGAAGTGATTTTCATACACCAGTTTCAGTCTTAACTCTATGGTTCCCATTACGATAAGCTCCCATTCCTTTTCATTGACTCTAGAGATCATTTTGGGCAGTAAGAAGCAAGAAGGGGCAGCTTCTCTCTTCTACTGCAGCCTCTGGTGGTTCTCACCCTAACAGGAAAATACATTAAAGCCTCTGCATTTGGTACATGAGACTTTTGCTCATTCAAATCTCTCTGTCCTCTCTGTTTCTCTTTATTTTCTCTAGGGCACTGTGCAGTATGTTGTCATGCCACAATGTTTCCCTCTTTCCACCTAAGTTCACTCCCTCTTTTTCTTCCTTGCATCCCACATGTTCTCTGTTCTGCTAGTAGGGAATGTCTTTACATAATGTAGACTAAACAGGCCAGCTGTTGGATTTTTTTCTTTTGGGACAAATATGTTAAACACCTCTTGGCATTCACATGCTACATTTTGCAAATCTGATGTCCAGCATCTGGTTTCTTCTTGATAGTAAAACCCTGCTGAGCTTGAAGGGCATTAACAGTTTTCACTCACTTACTATAAGCACAAATGAAGGTGCATATGCATATCACTAAACCGAAGGGGACTTGAAAAGCTTGAAAACTCCTGCCTTGGCTGTCTGTAGAGTTTGATTGCTGTGTTTGACTCTGTCCACCCATCATTAGGTAAAGGTCAAGGTAATTTCAGTACATTATCCCCTTTTTCTAGACTTCTTCCCTCTGCAGCCTCAAGGTTTTTGTCATGGTGGTGGTGTGCAATGGTGTTGGTGTTGGTGAGCAAATAGTGAGAACCTTTTTGTTTGACGAAAAGTACAAAGATAATCTTTATTTTTTGTCAGCACTTCTATTTTTTTTTAGTGTATGTCAAATCCGAAGCTCAGTTGAAGCAACTACTCTAGTAATCTACCCAACTTTGTTAATGCTTCCATTCCTGAAAGGAAAAATTTAATCGTGTTTCACAGACAGACAAAGATCGCCTTATCTGTGAAGCCTCTAACTGTAATTCTTCTTTTTCTTTCTTGTTATATTTCTTGTGCACTGAGTGTTTCTTCTTCACTTACCTTTTTTTTCACACACTATGTGCTTATACAAGTTCCTGCATTTAAGCATTAGTTATTATTAATCTCTGGCTCTCTTCCACAGCATGTCTTTGTCCTGTCTTTCTCCCCTCAACCCCAGCCATTTGCAGCAGATGGCCGCCCTTCCTGCTTGTATATAGGAAACATTCACCTGCTATTAGGGCTCAGTCCAGTCTTCTCAACTCCTATTAACAGGCTTGAGGTTCCTGTTTTCGTGAAGATTATAAGGCTTGTCTGATGGGACCAAGGCCCAGACAGGGAAGGGAGGGTGACCATGGAGGCTTTGAGGTGCAGTGGTCCTCCAGAGCAGCTGGACATCTGGGTCTCATCAGAGATGAGATGGGGCTGGAAGGAAAGGGAGGGGGTGGGTGAGTGAGTGAAGCTCAGAACCAAAAAAAGGAGACAGATGGGGGGGAAGTACAAGGGAGAGTGGGGGACAACGTAATAAAAGGAGTGGAAGATAAAGCAAATTGGGCAGGCAGGTCTGAGACCCTAAAATGGAGGTAGAATTCAAGGGGAATAAAAGGAAAGGCAAAGGAATGCCATCCCAAAAGGCTATTATCCCACTGAAACAAGAGTGACTGGAGTTTGGCAGAAGTTGAGAGATAAAGGTGCTTATGTTGGATCATTGGTCATTGGTTCTGTTTAGTTCAATGCTGTCTGAGGCTTTGCCTGCTGCCTGAAAAATTAGTCATAGACAAGCAAAACCCTTTCATTTTAAACTTTGACAGCAACCAGATTTGTACTCTGGTGCTGCTGGTTCACTGAAACAGACGACTTCCCTGTTTTCCATATTAATGACACTTACGGTAAACTGGTGAAAATAATCTTGATGAAAACAGAAAAAAGAGAAATATCATTAGTTAAATTACAAAAATAGATTTAACCTGGACAGAATAATGCAGTTAAATTGCACTCCAAAGATAAGAAAACACACATCTAAAATCTATCTCAGAAACTCTGTTGAAATATCAGCTTTTCCAAAAGACAAAAGCTGAACATACTGGGAACAAGTGCCATTTGTTTCCTGTATTGGGGTCAGAGGTCAGAGGTGGTGGCAAGCTTTCGAACTGAAGACTTTCTCATTAACAATGCAAACAGGGGACAAGAGTGACTATGTGGGTTAGCCTGTCAGACTGTCAGCAGGGTTGACATGTGGGTGGTGGAATTGTTGCACTGCTTGTGCCAGAAGCAGACTGAGGGACCACCACAGCTTGGTAATTGCCTTCTGACCTCTGGCAAATCAGCCCAAATGGCTGAGACTCCCAGACAGGGCCTTAGTCCTGCTTATGTGTATGTCGGTGTCGATCACAGGGATAATAGCTGTTTCTCCTCCGGGTGTGGGAACTAGCCAACCCTATTGATTTCACTGCACGCTCTGCTATGAAGCAAATACCTCAACTGGACTCCTTGCTTGTGTTTTTCCCACCATGAGAAAGGAAAACAGCGGCATGAAAGCTGCCCGTGAACGTCAGAGGATGTAGCAACGGGAAGGAAAGGCAAGAAGACAGGAGCAAGGATAAGAAGAGGTGGAGGAGGCAAGGGTAGGAAGCTGATAGGGTTGTAGTGTCTAATGCCATCCCACCCTGAGTAATCTTTCAAGAAAGTGCATGTATCTCATCACGTTTACAGAGGCAAATGAGCATGCCTGTATATTTTAGGGAAAGGGTAGAAGAGGTTTAAGTGGGATGATTTATCAGACAGAAATTGTTTGCTGTGTGTGGTGATCTGGGAAAGGCGAGTGTCAGGTGGGCAGCACTAATGTGCAGGAATGCAGAGATTCCACTGTGGCTTTGTGGATCGGCTGTGTCACTGAGGCAGCTGCCCCCTCCTCCTCTCCGAACCCCCAACAGGACCATGGGAATGAACCAAACGGGCGGCATCTTGAAAGCACTCTCTCCCTCTCTCTCTCTCTCTGTCTCGTGTTCACACACATAATTATTCACTCACGACATTGTATAGTGGGGTGAGTGTCTATTATAAAGACAGTGTAAGGGAGATTAAATGAAGTAGGAGGATTAGATTCAGTTATGGTATATTTATCTGCCCATTCCCGGTAATTTCACCACCAATGTCTACAAGCTACAAGCAGGGTGCACCTGCTCTTATTGTCTCAAACTTTTATTTTATAGGATGAAAACAGAAAAAGCTCTAAACCACAAATGTCGGGCTTTCTAAAAATATTATGGTGTATACATGTTTGCAGCTTTGCAGCTGTTCACTGTTGTGTTGAACTTACCTGATTTGTTTATGTGTTTGTGAAGTATGCCCTTCCTTGTAAAAACAAGACCATTAAAATGTCTGCTCCTATTTAATCTCTGTGCTGAAAAGCTCTTGATTACTGCTGGAGTTTTGGGGCTTTGATCAAGGCAGTTATCTAAGTGATACAGCTTCCTCTTTACTTGATGTAATTAACTAAATCAGCCTACTGAACAGGAAGTATGATTACTAAGACTGCTGTGTTTATGTGGCGTGCTGAGTTCACGGGCGTCCGTGTGTGTGTTTGCGTGTAAGCGTGGGGTAGAGGGAAACCAGAGAGAACAGGATGCAAAATTAGCCTCTTATTTAAATGGTCCCCCCACATTTGACCTCAGTTGCAGACTTCCTGAGTCTGGGGTTAGGCTGATCTGAAATAAGTACACGGTAGTGACCCAGTCACTCGCCACCTTCCTAAGTAAATGTTCAGTGGACTGGCATCAAAGTCTATATCAGGGCATCTGTTGCAGCTACACTTTAAGCTGTATGGTACATGACAGCAAAGATTAGGGGAAAGTTTGCAGCTCCCTCTGGACTACAGATAAATTCTTTTTCATAATTAGACCTCTTGTTTTACTATATCAGAAAGAAGGGTATTTTTCTTCTTAAACACCTCAGTCTTTTTAAATAAATGTAAATCTCATCTTGAATCCCCTAACTTTATTAAACAACCAGTAACACTGAAGAATCTATGAAGAAATATTACTTTATAATCCATTTAACTCCTGCAATCTTCAGCTAATCTGTGGCTTTCTGATCCCCTAGCAGCCATTGACTGTGTGGTGGGATCATGGGGTCCCTGGTCATCATGCACATCTTCATGTGGAATTGGTAGCACGGAAAGGAGTCGCCAAGTATCTGTTCCCCCTAGAAACGGAGGTACACCCTGTCCTGATCTCAAACAACGTCGAGGATGCTTCGGAAACAACGCCATATGCAGCACCGCGAAAGGTGACAGCCTGATGTTTTCTGCATTTATGTATGTTACAGTGTTCAGTTCACTAGCACTGTTACAAGTTAAACAAGCGCTTTGGTATTATTTGGGACAACTGTTAACTTTCTTTTGCTGTAAGAAACAAATCTTGAGTCTGCATGCTCCATCTGCCTGTCACTTTGCTGATGGAACAACTGCAACAGCTTATTAGACATATTTGCCCTCTTTTTAATTTTCATCTGCCCGTGCTTACACCTGACTTCCAGAAGTCGCAAAAATCTTGCCTAATTCTTTCAAGAGGAACTTCAAGGACCCTTGGAGGAGACCACACATGCTGATGAAGGAGGAGAAGGCCAGGTAAGGCCTTAATACCAAACTGCAAGATACCAGCTTTGTTTCGTGTCTCTAGTGTAGGATTTGTCGGGGCAGTGGCAGGTGATTACAGACAGTAATTGGCAGTATTTAATATGCATATTTGAGTTCATACCATCACTGTAATTATACAAACAGTAACCTTTCTTTTCTTGCCAGCAAACTTTCAGATGCATCTCACTCTGGCAAGAATAAAGGCACTTTTTCTTGCTTTCGCTAACTCCAAGGCTGGTGGATTTCACAACAGGTCCATACCATATTTTTCCCCGGTTTTTCCTTTGTTTAAAGGTTAACTCTGAGCACCAAAAGATTAGGGAATACTGGCAAAGACTGAGGTTGCTATAGCAAGCACGTCCTCAAAATTACTTTTAGTGTGTAACATGAACTCTGTCATTGAATATTTGCATCAGGAGCTGACCTTTCCTGATAAGTCAGACGTAATCAATTTAAAAAGAAAAACCTTCGCTGTATAAATTTGATCTTTGATCTGAGCTGATTACAAATCTTCTCATTATGTTCTCTGGAAAAAAAATCTGAGCTGGCTTCCTGACAGCTTACAGCTTTTCTCAGTAATTAAAATGGACATTGGATACTTTTGTTTTGACTGAAACAAAACATCAGGGGACTGGGAGTGCATTACTCATAAATGGCATTGATTCAGCATGAATTTTACAGAGTAAGAGCGATTTCACACAGACATCTGGTATATTAATAGTGGTGTCTTTGAAATAGAATGAAGAAGTGAGGGTTAACAGTGACAACAGTGAAATGATGATCAGTTGTCTTTGGATGTATATTTAAATCTGGATATTAGTGGATATTAGAGACTGGACATTAAGAAAGGTAATTATAAAATAAGGGAGGATGAACCATAACACAAGGCTGTTATGCAGATTTTGCTTGTAAAAGCTCAGCAAAAGAAAATAATATCTGTCTGGAATTTTTAAGAGAGAAATTTTAGTCAAAAAAAAACAAGTATTTAACAGAAGGTTTCACTGTGGAAAAGTTAAGGAAACAAAGTAGAGACATCCCACTACAGACATGCAGACATATACTTTATGGCTTAATATAGAGTAAATATATAGAGTAAGGATTTCATACATATTTACTTTCTGAAATATTTCTGAAATAATCTGAGGAAGAAATAAAGGGAAACTTCATGTTTTCTTTGACAAGTCACCCAAATTTGGATAATATTTTGTCACACCTGTCTGAATTAGTGGCAAAATAAATAGTAGAATTAACCCATTTATCAGAAAAACAAGACTTTATTTGTTCCTTTTACTGTGCAGACTGAGCTGTGATCACAATGGGATAATCCAGGCGATCAAGACACAAGTGAATCACTTGTGTTACTTATCAGCAAATTTTTACTTTGTTAAGTAATTAAAGTATTAAACTTGGGTCACCAGATACAGTCACGATAAAAGTAAAGTACACTTTTTTGAATTTGAATTTTTTAAGTATCAGGGAATAATACAGTGCCAGATAAACAGCAATGCATGATATATTACTCCATGTCATTATTTATTTAAAAAGCACCAAGTGAAAAGACAAAGAAGAAGAAGCAAAATGTGAAAAATAAGCACACCCGACGATTTTATAGCTTGTGGAAGCATATTTAGCAGCAATATCTTGAGAGTTGGTGTGAGGCGTTTGTGCTGATTTGCTGCATTTAGATGTGCAGAACATCTCAACTCTGCAAAACTAAGCCATGCTGCCACGTTCCTTTTAGAGAGAAGAGGCTTTTCCCTGTCAACCATTACAAACCATCCATATTTCTTCAGTCTTTTTCTGATTGTATTGTCACGAGTTTTAACATTTAGCATTCTAACTGAGAACTTTAAAGTCTGAGATGCAGTTTCTCTGAGCATTGCACAGTCTGATCTTGGGGTAAAGGGTTAAGCTATAGGTTTATCACACAGTGCGTCTGCATGTTGGCTTTTATTTTTGTTAAATAAACAAAGACAGAGTGTAATATGTCACATTTTATTCACCTGAGGTTGTATCTAATTAATTTTAAGACCAGCTAAGGACCAGATGATTATTATGCCTTGATATGTAAAACCTCTTAATTCAAAGAAGAGATACTTTGTTTGTACCATTAGTGTAACTTTAAACAAAGCAGGATATTTTTCAGAAACTGGAAAGCTTAAAACTGGCATATGCCCCTGTTTCTTCATCTGAACATTTTCCATCTGTGTTTTCTGTTTGAAATGCTCTGGTTTCATATGTGAGCATGAATAATGTGATTGACTGGATCATTGATGTGTTTCTGAGTCTCAAATATCTTATTTGCCTTTGAGCATTATATTTTTGACTTGATAATAAATGCAGGTAAACAGAGTCTTCTACTTTGACACCTTCTTTCCCTTTCTTTACCCTTGCTTGCAGTTACTGTGTGCATCTGCAAGTGAAACAGGCTAGCGCGGCATGTAGACTCAAACTGTGGACCGCTCGACTGATGAGAGAGACTGCTGTCTGTGTAGAGTGTCAAAGTGATGCCATGGCAAAGTCAGATCGCTGTGGAGGCGATGGTCTAAGGGGCACCAGGTAAACAAGCTAACTGATAGATAACTGAAGATATGTTCATCCATTACATTCCTAACTCAAGCTTAAGTTTGACTCTGCATTCAATTTAAAGACAGGAATATACCTAATGATGACTTTGGTTTAGCTCAATAAAGGCATACCTATGGAACCCCCAGTGACCCATAATAGTGATATACCAAATACATGCGCATTCATTTGCTTTGTACATTTATAATTTTCATGTTTCTTACTTTCATAGGGTGGTCATGTTTGAAGAATTTCTTCCAAACAAATAATGACACAGAGAGCTAAAAACACCATTCAGCACATATTTATAAATATGCAGAGCTATTAAGATGCATATATTAGTTTCTCTAATACTTCTTAACTGGGGAAAAAAATTCTGCCTAATCTAAGTGACCTTCTAACATACCCACATGTTACTGAGTATGAATTTAAGGCATTGTTTAAAAGAATATTCATTAAAATGACTATTTTATGTGGTCAAAATAAAATCATCACATAATAAAATATGCTAAATTGGAATTAAAAGGAATTTGTTACATGCCTGATGGGCTCCTCTGTTCTTTAGGACCTTCTGGTCAGCAGCTTCAGTCCCGGGCTGTCACGGTTCCTGGATTCGACAGTTTTCTTCTGAGCGCTGCCAGTGTCCTGACAACTCTTTCCTCTTTGTTTGAGGCGGCACACTACTCTCAGCATCCTGCCAAGTGCAGGACAGCCCTGCCAGCCAAGCCAGACCCTCCAATCCAGATTACTGGATGGGTAACTCAAGGATATTAGCAGCATCCTGCCACTTTTTTTTCTTTCACCTCATATTCTGTACTGTATAAACTCTTAAAGCACACATAAATTCTTGCATTTAACTTCTGATTTTACAGCCACATAATTCTCCTCTAAAGCACAGCATCTATTTGCCTTTTTACCTCTGAGTCTTTGCTATCTACCTCCATCAATACAAGTGCGTTTTCTAATGCATAATGTATAAATATAGAAATATATTATTTTGCTTTATACATTTTCTACTTATGATTGGTTTATGTAATGTATATGTGTCTATATAGCTTCAATAATTTGTATCCAACAGTGTAAACATCAGACATCTGTCATTTATCCCCAAACAGTCCTAAGTCATCAGTGGTTTTGGAGATACTAAAACGGATCATCAAAGTCATATCCAAACTAGGATCCTTCGCTCAGTATTTTGATGTTGTATCTTTTTTTATCCCAAAGGGCAAAGTTGAATATCAGGTACTGATTCTCAGGTGCTTAGATTTCAAGTCTCCTTCATGTCTGCCTCTTCTGGTGGTCAGTCACAGATGTTTTCAGTAACATGACTCATAGCGGAGATCAATCACATCTGTTTAGACTTAATATTGCTGGAGAGGAAAAAGAGCCATATAAGCGAATTCACTGTGGTTCTGTCTGTCTTGTGTCCAAGACTTAAAAAATGCTTCATGATTACTCGCCCTGCTCACGGGGGAGTTTTATCAAAAGAGTATGATCCAAGATAAATATCGTGAACAGCCAACTCCTATATTTTTAATTAACCGAATCTCCTCCCCTCCCTACAGTTCCTTTACTTTTTTTTCAGTTCTGTTTTTGTTGTCTCTGTTGACTCTGTGTTTTCCCTCAAATAAAATACAGACTAACTACAGCTTTACCTTCTTGAGTTAAACGACACAGCATAAATTCCTGCATCTCTTTTGCTGTTGGGTTAAGAAGAAGGCAGGTGCAGTCATGTTATGGAAACCTGTTACTTTCTCTTTACATCCCCCATGTCTGTGTTTGTGTGTTTATTTATTATAAACCATGTGGTAATTTTATAAGTGCAGCACAGCATTTTCTGTACACTGTCCATTAGTGAAATAAAGAAAACTATACCGCCATACCTCCCTCTATTGTATTTCTATTGATGTGTGGATTTTACTGCATCATTGCATTCAGTTTGCAAACCCTTGCCACTGTTTTCCTTTACACACCTTCAACATATCTGACTTCTCCCCTGTGCAGTAACTACTAGCATCGGCATGACACTGATAAGTATATTCCCGAGTTTACAAGCAGCATTTCACACCATTTCAACTCAAACATGTCCATTAACATATTTTCTGGCATTCTTGGCATTTTTGCGTGAGCTGTAAATGGGATGACGACAAGCAAAATGACAACTAATGTGTATAATCATGTTTTGTTGTTACACTATACTGAAATTTGGGGTATGTTCTTGTAATGTAAATTCCGGGAATTTTGTGTATATGTATATATACTATGTGTAATTATGTGTAGACGAAACATGACAGATGTGGCAGCTTACGTCATATGTAAAAGTATCTTCATACTGGTATTTAGTTTGGTTTTGTGGATTGCATATTCTGATAGCCAGTTTGCCTCCTCATTTAGGTGATATATAGACTAGTTAAGTGTATATGGAGAAAGGGATGTTTGAACCTTGAGATTCACTCTGAAAAGCTGCAACTCTTCACGTTTATAAAGCTAATGCTTTTTGTCACTCTTGGCAGTTTTTAATTTTTTTTCCAACCATATGTCACATAAATAATACCAATTAAACCACATTATCAGAGGCTTCTTTGTTCCCCATAATTCTAACTTTATTTGGAGCCATTTCCTCTGTGTGGAGTTTGCTTGGTCTCCCTTTGCTTGCATGGATTTTGTCCAGTTACTCTGACTTCCTCCTAGTCCCCAGACATGCATGTTAGGTCCTGTGATAGACCTGTTATGCTGTAGAAGCTCAGATAGGCTCCAGCCTCCACGTAAGCATGAATTAGCACTGTTACAAGGGTGAATGCTCATAACATGACCAATGTTATGAGTGCCATCATATGTACAGGTAAATCTTTATGTACAAAAGCTCAGGCTGGTTTGGCTCTCAATGATGTGAAACAACCAGACTCCAACACATCAATTCCTTAAAAAAACTAGTGCACGGCTAATTCCTGTCAGAAGTACTTGAACTTCACCTCCTCCATCAATCTCTCCAGCCTTCCTCCCCCCTTTCTCTGCTCTCCTCCCTGATTCCTCATCCTAGCTCACTACTAAACTCCCCTTCGTCAGCACAACTCTTTATTTTCTCGTACTACAACAGCGGCTGTGCTGTCTGCCTGACCAGTGCATCCCCTGTGCTGCTCTGCCACTGCTGCTAACCTGCTTTGCAAAGGGCAGGAAGGCCCATCTCTGGCCCGGTGCCTGATGGGCTCCGACAGCAGTGTGTTCTGGGATTACAGCCACTGAAAAGGGGGGCATTCCAGCACTGGTGGCTTTTGTCACAGCATGGCCACTGTTTACTTTTGACAAGACAGCTGTTCAAAGCCCTCCTGGCCCCAGTGTAGGGCGTAAAGGGAAAGAACCCAAAGGTGACTTCCGTTTACTGGTGGCATCGCTGGACTTGGCCTGAGGCCCCTTCTGCTACTGCACGACCATCTTAACTTCACATTTGCCCATATGCCCTGATGATAATAAAACTTTGTTTCAACATTTCATCCTGCACATATATAAAATATTAATTCCATTTAATTGCAAAGTTTCATAGTGTTTTCCTTGCCTTGTTCCTTGATTTCTTCCCCATGTCTTGTGCTAATGATGCCACATTTACCCAGCACTTCCATTTGCTTTGTTTACTGGTTCGTATGTGTGCACTACATGTGCGCAGAGTGTCAGCTTGGGGCCCTTGGGTAGCTGGTACCTCTGTTTCTTTGTATATAGCCTGCATGTGGTTTCAGGATGCATGTACTGTAATTAGTAGTTATCCTAATAAATGCTTGGTGCCTCTGTAGGAGCAGCTGGTCTAACACAGAGGAATGATAATGAATAGACGGCTGAGCATGACACAAGTGGTACACAGCCATACAACAAACTCTCACACATCCTCAAATGACAAAATTAGGAAAACGGAAACAAATAGACTATATTTGTGAATTGTATGTAAATTGCTAACAAAATCCTTTCTTTGATCTGAAGAAAAAACAAACCCCAAACCAAATCTCTCTCTTGCTATCGGTCCATGCAAAAGTAAGACACATACTACCCAAAAATCTAGAGAAACTGTAGTAATTTATTCCTGGGAATGTGGCGCCCCTCTGTGGTGCTTTGGGCTTCCTGCTTCACTTTTAACAAACAATATACAGGACATCTCAGACTTGTTCTATACGCTTTATTGGCTATACAGACTTGATTACAACAAATGATAAACATGGCAAAAATAAGACATTATAACCATAAAACCATATTTTTAATCATCTTAGTAGAATAGCGTTGTGTTTTACTTAAAAAAAAAAAAGTGGTTCTTTTTGTCAGAAATGGAAGATACAACAATAATTAGTATTATAAGGGCTATTTTCCTCCTGTGACAGTTTTTATATTAATATGAGCTTGTTCACATTATTTGTCCAATAATGCAGCATTCAATGAATAACCATAAATACACAGGATTTATATAAGGCTAATCAAATCCTTCAAAAACAAGAATAAACTTCAAAAACAAATTTCAGAAATGTCAGAGGGAAGCTTCACATGGTGAGCGGTGCCAGTGGTGACATGGACTTGGCACAGCTTCAAAAGCTAGTCTACAGTACATACAAATTACACATAAGGCAAATGTGACTTGAGCTAGGCTAGCTGCTTGCTTGTATTTTTTTTTTTAATAATCGTGGCGTGGCAGGCCTAGGAATCACAGTTAGCACTGACATATGAATGTCACACAAAAAAAATGATCCAGTTACTCTCCTTTACGTGAATATTTAATCATTAAAATTAATTTCCTCATTTGTAACAGAATTTGTTTGTTCAGCACGAATGATGAGCAAACCAATAGCCAATTAAACACCTAAGGTGATCAATAAAAACAGAATGGAATCAATGAAAGTTCAACTACATACATTCAGATAGAGTTTGAGAGAAACTTAACAGAGAAAATAAACAACTCCAGTGCAGAAAGAGACAGACACTGACATCCAAAACAAGCAGTGAATAGTCTTTCCTTTAAAAGAAGGAGGTGGAGAAAAAAAAATGGAGGCCCAGGTGAGAGGATGATCTGCGGTCAGTTTTGGTTTCCTTGAGTTGAATCCAAGTGTTTATTACAGTTTTTTCATCTGTTGGTTTGTGTTGTGGATCTTTGTATCCATTTTGTCCACTTTATTTAGCAGAGCATCAATAGAGTCGTCCTGCGCATCAATTTCAGACTGCAGACCAAGCCCAAGATTCTTCAGTCTACCCAAGCCTACACACATCTCATCTAAGACATTCACAAAAGACATCAGTTCAATTACAGCAGACAAACTTTATATAAAAACGTGGTATGTAACTAAATAAGTGCAGCATTTCCCTACCCAAATTTTTGTCAAGAGTGTGGTGAGCCTCCTTCAGGTATCTGTTCTTAGGGTATCCATTCTGTTGAGATGAGCCATCATCTATTGATCCAGTAGCTCCAAATCCTAAAACAATGAAGTAAGAAATAGTGAGAGCGGGTAAGTGGTGGGAAGATACCGTAATGCTGAGGTTCTTGTTCCAACACTTACCTCCCGTATCCAGTTTTCTTAGGTTGGGGTGGCTAGCTTGGTACTTATCTTCATTTTCTCTGCTGCTGGACAAGGCAGTCTGTAATCTGAGAAAGTCAGATAAGAATTATTCAAACATTTTGGGAGAGACGGTCAATAACAAGTTGTACGCATGAAAGTAAAAAATAAAAATGAATTACCTGAACTTCTAAAAGAAGTTAACATTACTTTAACACAAATTCAGAGTAACTGTTTTCATGCTTTATTGTAAAATATGATAACTTGTCCCTACACATAACAGCATATCAAACTTTAATATATTGAAAGTCCTCTAAATCACAGAGCTCCTTGATTTGTTTAGGAGTTCAAACATGCAGAAATTAAAACTGGATGATGCTACCACACCTCACTGACACAGAGAATAAAAACAAACTTACCTTTCACTGGCGTTGTAGGCCTTTGGCTGCTCAGGTGGTGGCTTTGTCTCTGGCGTTCCCTTAAAATAATTGACAAGGCCGCCCCACACACTCTTAATACTGTTAATGTGCCTTTGACTGGTCTTCAGGTCTTGATCCATGTTATCCAGCATCTTGTCTGACCTCTTTATAGCCTCACCCTGTCGCATCAGCTCCTGCAGACAAGAAGAGACCAATTCAGGATGAGGTATGGGAAGACGGGGCCTTTAAAAATAACTCTTTGTTGACTGTCACCTTTTCAAAGACACTGTCAATTCTTTGTATAGTAGTGTGAACCTTGTTCATTTAAGATACCTCTGCAGTTTCCACACCCATCTTCTCCGATTCATAGATGAGGCCAAGTGAGCGGTAACTGCTATCCACAGCAGACTGCGCTGTACGCATCACTTCCTGCTGGAGGCATCTCTGCCTCCTCTCTGCTTCACTCAACCCACTGTCACTTGGCTCGTCATCAAACCCCCTACTTTTAGGCTTGAAATCCTCCTCATCATCATCATCTGCAAACGGGTTGTGGGATTTAGGGTAGGCCATCTGTGGAGCAGAAACAAATGTTTTGGTAATTTTAGCTAAAGGACTATAAGCATCAAGCATCAAGTTACATGCAGTTTAAGAATGAGCTTTTCTTCACAACAAGGAGTTTTTGTTACCTGTAAATAATGGATTTTACATTGCTTAAAACTGGAACAACTTCTTGGAACACAATAAAACTATAAACAGGTTAATAAAAGATAAGATATTTGGTTCCAGTCTTGATAATCTTTGACTTTTTTCAGCTGCTCCCTTTAGGGGTTCCCTAAACAGATTATCTGCCACAATCTGACCCTCTCCTTGGCATCCTCTTCTGCCACACCAACCCTCTGCATGTCCTCCTTCGCTATATCTATGAATCTTCTCTATGATCTTCTTGTTTTTCCTCTTGCCTGGCAGCTTCATTTTTAACATGCTTTGTCCAATGAATCTAATATCCCTCCTCTGCACATATATCAATACCATCTCAACTACGCCTCTTAAACGTTGTCTCCCAAGACTTGATAATCTTTTAAGTTCACTTATTCACTGATTAAATCCTTCAAACAGTCTGAGTGTTGTTTATCTCGACTTCAACTAAATTCGCAAAAGCAACAGTTGTCTCAAGGTGCTTTAGATTGCAAGGTAAAGCCTATAATAGTAGAGAGATAACCCAAAATATCCCCTCTGTGTAAGCATAGCTGAATAATTAAACGATGCGTAACACAATACATCTGCTATTTAGATAATACTTTTTTTTTTTTAAATTAAAACAGTAAGTTTTTGTTGATAAAAGAAGGTTAATTGTTCATTTCGAAACTTGTCTGAGTTTCGAAATGAGATTACGAAAGCTCCAGCGTGTTAGCTTCGGCTAATTTCAACGTTGTCCAACAAGTAATTCGAGCAAGAGTTAGGCTTGTAAAATATTTCACATTAATCATCTGCAACAATACCTGCTGTGTTATATTAAGAGGAGAAAAATAAAACAGTATTGTAAGTCAAGAAATGTTTGATGTATCGCCGGGGTGTTGGTCTGCTAGTCAACCGTTAGCTTAACTGCCAGTCAACTAAACGACCACATCCGCAAGAGTCACCACAGGCAGTTTTCTCTTATTGAACAAATGCTGTCGAAAAGTGTAAAAAAAAAAAAAAAAAAAAAAAAGACACAGGAACAATTAACTTAACAGACAAACCTTTGACCACAGGAGCCGCGGCAGACGCTGTTGTTGCTCTATCAGCTGACTGAACTCTTCCGATTGCGTTTGATGACGTTGCACACACACTGTCGCGACAGCTGATCTTGCGTAAAGGAAACGCACACCAGGGCGATATTGGGGTTACTCACTGATAAAAACCCACGCAGGTTGTAATGTAAATAATATAACTACAATCCATACATTTGCTTAATTTGATCTATTTTAAGCCCTTTGTGAGTGAGTTGCTACGGTAACGAAGAGCCCCTGTTAGAAATGTCCCTGCTGAGTTGCCGTACTGCGGCTTTCCCAGGCAGCCCCGCTCGCTTGTTTCCTCTCAGCGATGAATTGCGCTGGTTTAATGTAGGGGTAAACATGTCCGTAATGGGAGGTGGTACGAGGGGGTTTTATTTTAATACAGTCCTGTCGCTGGCCCGCTCTTTAGCCGCCCACCGCCCCGCACCGGTCGAAAAGGTGAGAAAACAAGCGTGAGCTCCAAAAACACGCAATAATTAACCATGTTAGTAATTAGAAGCAGTGGCAGGGTTGTTCAGGGTGTAGCTGCGCTTCCGCACAGGCGGTGGCTTATTTTGATCAACGACATGACAACCAAGCTAACATTTAACAGTTATGCTCGTATGCTTGTGTGCGCGTCTCCGTGGTTAGAAATCTCTAAAACGCGAGCAGTGGTCTCCAAAACACTGAAGCAGAAAAGTGGGCAGTGCAGAGGAAAGTGGCGTCGCTGTGTGGTGCCTGTTACTGCATCGGACGGACAGAGCGGTCAAGCTTGATCGGTACTGCAGTCAAACAGGTTTACAGAGAAATGTTTAAGACAGGAGTTCATTCACAGGCTGTTCTGTTTGTCTTTACTGCTACCAAAATCCGCCTACATGTGTTATATAGTTGGAAACCTGTTGCAGATTGATAGTTGGGTCTTACCAATATAGGAACGGTTTTTAATTTTGAAAAAACAAAAAACAATGGGTACATTTTGTAAAGGAAAGGGTTAGAAGGGAACAAATGAAGCCATTATCAATAAGCTGTCACCAAGTGTTGTAACTTTAAGGGCTATCATGGGTTATGTTATGTAATGCCCAGTTCCACTGTGTGTTTGAGCTCTAGGGAGGAAACTGCCTGGCACTTTATCAGATATCAGAAATGCTTGTATCTTGCTTGCTTGCTGGGTTATACAGTGTGCAGATTCCAGATGTCTTCGGGTAGATGATCAGGTGACCCTGAGCCATCCCTTAGTTGCAAAAGGGGAAGGTGATGGAGACTTCTCATGATGCAGTTTCTTCTTCTTCTTCTTTTCACTCTCCCTGTGTTTATATCTCCCTTTAATAATAACTAAGGGTTAAAACTAATCTCTGGCTCTCCTCCACAGTGTCTTTTATCCTGTTTCCCACTCCCCACCCCCAAGCTGTCTTGGCAGATGGCTGCCCTTCCCAGAGTCTGGTTCTTCTCTAGGTTTATTTTTGTTGAAAGGGAGATTTTCCTTGCTACTTTCACTTGCTCATAGGAGGGTTGTCTGATTGTTGGGGATTTCTCTCTATTAGTGTAGTTGAATTTAATTGAACAGTGTAAGTCTAACAAATATTACTCTGATTGAACCACACACTTACTCTGAAACATCTGGAAGTTTGCTTCCGCCACTGAAAAAAAGTATTTTGCCATCTGTAAGTCCAAATCTTTGGTAATCATCTAAAAATTAAAATTTTTGGTATCTCAAAACTTTTCCTTAGTAAGTTATACTTATTAGAAAATAACTTGAAATTTCAAGTCATTAAGGCTAATACTTGAGAAAATAACCCCAAAATTCTGACTTATGGATGGTAACACATGCTTGTTTTTCAGTAGCAGAAACAAGCTTCTAATCTATACAAACAGGTTTTAACACTTGACATATTGTCTAATCCTGTAGTGTTATGTTTTCATATGCTGTGTGACACAAACACACTGGGCTGTCAAGTGAGATAAATCAGCTTGATGTGTGAATATTAGCAGCCTGGACTGTTACTTTAATATTTATTTTTGGCCTTTTAGGTTCAGAAGCTGCAATGTATGTGTCCAGTGGAAGTCCGTGGTGTGTTCACTCTGGATGTGCGTCGCAGAGATGCTGTTATTGCATTGGCTGTGTTTTTGGTGGAATCTGGCTTACAGGTGGGTGGTTGTCAGTAAAAAGCTGAGCAGTTTAGCCTTTTGAATTCAGTGTTTTCATTTTACTTCAAGCTGTTCTGGTAATACAGTGGATTTAAGATTTCATAGTTTAGTTCATTAGATAGTGTAAGTATTGGCATTGCATATTGACACAATACTAATTTTCTATTTTCCTAACTGCTTATCAAACTCTGTTTCACAGGTATAGTAATGGTAATATTGTATTAGAACTATTAGTCCATGTTTGCTCCTGCGCTCTCCTCTGACTACATGTATCCCTGTGATAAGCTTCTCATAATCTGATTAATCTGGCGATTAGACATGCAGTTAGCCGTGTAAGCCTCTAACCTCATCACACTTAGACACAGTTGGGAAAGCTTCCCTTCTGACTGACAGCATAGTGCTGGATGCCTTACTTTTATTTTTAAAGCTGTGATACACTTTCTTTGACCCAGATTTGCTTGTGTGAGATAACCTCGTTGTTTTGATCCGTCAGTGCTTGTCAGGCATGCAAAAGTGCTGATTTTATGCTGCAGAGTGCACTTGTTTGTGGTGTGTAATGATTTGTTTTACTCCTGCAGCACAAAGACATACTTGTTTCTTACTTGCTGAGCCTACTGAGAGGGCTGCCACGGGTCCAATGGATCGAGGAAAGCTCAGGAAAGAAAGGAAAGGGTAAGAAGAATCCTCTTATAGTGAAGCTTTTAGTTTTACAATAGACTCCTTTTACTTGTGGCAGTAGAATTTCTAGCAATTCTTATTAATTAATTGTACTGTGTTAAGATGTATTACACTAGACAGATGGGTTAATTTATACTTGAATTGCTTATTGTGAGCTGCCGTTTCTGTTTCACGTAACGCTCTGTTGCTCTGTATTTGATGTTTACATTTTTGGCAAATCTGCTTATCATTATTTCTTTTCTTTTGTTCAACCTTATGAGGCATTCAATTCAAACGTGTCTGTGTAATTTTCTGCTCCTCAGAATTTCTCCCCGTAGCAGAAAACTTCAGCTTCTGTCTAGTGACTCTTCTGTCAGATGTGGCTCAGAAAGATCCAGACTCAAGACAAGAGGTCTGTTTAAAAAGTGGTGATAAATCGTTATATTATTCACAGGGTTGGGGTGCATTGCATTTAAGTGCTAACTCACTGTTTTTGCACTGTTTTCACTATAGATCTTGAACACTATAATGGAGGTCATGCAGGCGTTCCAGGATATGTGCCAAACACCGGATAATCATGACAAAGGTATAGATAGAAATGCAACAAAATTCTGACTTTAGCTTTTAAAACAAAAAAAAGAACCTTAACGCTGCTCTTTTTTGTCTGCAGTCTTCCTGTGCAAGTATATTGTTCCCAGCCTGCTTGGCATGACTCGGGCATTTGGCCGCTACAGCCACACAGATGAAGCTCTGTTATCCAAGTTGTTCCCCAAAGATTCTCCTCAGGCACGATGCGTTACAGAGGAAACAGAGGGTGTACGGCGCAGATCCTTCAATGACTTTCGTTCTATTCTACCGTCCTCACTGCTTACAGTGTGCCAGAGTGATACTCTGCGCAGACGCACCGGGACCAACCTAGATTCATCTGCACAGGTCGGTACATGTTGCCGGATTCAAGACGTGTTTTGCTTGTTCAGGATAATTAGGGGATAATCCAGAGCAATAATAGTTTTATTTGCTTTGTTAATTCATATTATTCAGTGATAATGGTGGTATGTTTCGTTAACCATTAAAGTTGTGTAATGTGCTTTCAAACAGATCAGTACAGATCCAGGAGGCCACTCACCCTGCTCTCCTACAACTCCTAGTCCACATTACTTGGAAGGTAAAACTGAAGAAACAGAAGTTACTTTAAAAATATTTGTGTCTTAGTTTTTAGTTTAGTCAGCTTATTATTATGTAACAACTGCGCACTTTTTTTTAGGTTTGTTAGGGTGAACTGCAATATCCCCCATACTGTAACTTTGTAATAAGACAGACTATAAAAACATTGTAACTGTGGTTAGCCTTTTTTTGTTTGGGTTCATGCTGAGTTTTATAGCTGCTACGTTATTCCAGATTGATACTAAGGCCTTTAATTGCTTTATGCCTGAAGTGGCATTTCCAATCCTGTATTACTCTATAATATTGGAAATGCCAATTCATTTGTTATTTGTGGTCAGATTAAGAGTTTTGTAACATTTGCTGTATTTCCACAGATTTCCTGTTAACTATGTTGCATTCCAAACTCAGGGAATGTGTTTTTTGTAAATTGTCTGGGACAGACTCAAAAAGTGTCTTATTTCAGTAATTCTACACTTATAATCTGCAGTATTACAAGCCCTAATCTGTTACACAGAAAGGTTTAATTGTCGCTATGGAATGTAGATTCAGTAGAATAATGTGCAACAAAAAACCCTTATTTTCCAAAGTGAACTAATTCTATATTATTGAAATAGTACCCACTGAGATCTAATGGAAACAGTCGTATTTCATCCTACTTGTTTTTGTTAATAATTCTTCTGCTCCCACTGATTTCAGGTGCCTATTTTCCAGACAGCAACACAGTCGACCCTGACTACTATTTCTCTACAGTCAGCTCCAGTTTCTCGGTATCTCCACTCTTCCTGGGGGAAGGAGAAAATGAGGTGGAGGTGCCTGTGGATCTGCTCCGACAGCTCCTTGCCATGGTGCAGTAGCCTACTACCCGTACACCGCTTACAACCCTTTAAATCTTTTACTTTTGCTTCTTATCCAGTATATGTATCTTGAGCCTTTACAGTAGTTGTGTGCAATGTTGGCTTTCAGGTGAAGAAGTTTGTGTCCGAGTCCTTTTTGAAAACTCTGGATGCCACAATGACAGAAGTCATAGAGGTAAGCATATGACCGCTGTCGGTGCAGAATTGTAAATGGTAAATTCAAAGTTAGACACAGGATCTTATCAGTTAAGTAATCTGTTGTGTCAATGTCTCCTCTGTTTGTTGTTAAGTGTAATCCTGGAATCAACCTCTATTACAAAACCTTCAGTGACCCTATCTATGTGTGTGTGTTCAAAATGCTGCGGGACACACTATATTACATGAAAGGTAA